ATAAAATGATCAATTTTATTTATTTTTATTTTAATTTGAATTATATTATATTTTGATTAAAATTTCAATTAATTTGATTAATTTGATTTTTTAATCAAATTAACCGAAAATCAAAATTTTTTTAAAATAATTTTCATTAATAGAAAACTAAATTATTTTAAAATTATTTTCATTAACTGTCTAATATTAATTCGATAATTGATTGATTTATAAAATTAAATCCATTCAATCAATTAATTTAATTAAAATAAGATTATAAACACTCATATTTATGCTTGATTCGATTTATTAATCTATTAAGATGTTTAAAAAATATTTAAGATTATTTTATAATAATATTTTAATATCTTCAATATATTTTAAAATTAAATTTAAATATACGAAATTAATTTAACAAATCCGTTCTAACTATGAACAAATCAATTTGTAAATTAGTCAACAAAATTTTAAAACTGTTTTTTTTTTCTTTCTTTGGATTTTAATTAGTTTTACTTTGTTTAAGTAGAAGGGGAGTTTTGTCTGGTAGTTTCAATAATTTGGGAAGTGGAAACTTCAGAGTTAAAGCGATTTGTGTGAGGCTGTTATTGTCTTTACCCAATCAATTTTTGGATAGAAGTCTTCTAATCAAAGATTATGTTGGGACAAAGACAGATGATCATGGTCTCCTTCAATGTAATATTGCTTTTATTATTATTTTTTATTTAATGTTTTTGGAGATTAATTTTTTATTATTAAAATAAAAAGCGCTGCATTTTATTATCAAATCACATCATTATTGATATAAAATAAAGATAGTTTAGTATTGAAATAAGTTGATAATACAACATTTACATTTTTTTTTTGGAAACATATGATAAAATTTGAGTACTAATTCATTGATTTAATTTTAAAAATAGTAGAGTATTTATTAAAAAAAAATGCCTGGACATAAATCTTACTACTATGATAAAGATCATGTAGACTTGCATATCAGTAGAATAATACGAATTATTTAAGTTATAATATATACATTTTTTAATCACTAATAATAAATAATTACGAACACAATGATATAACAAATTTATAAAAAAAAATGATGATTTTTTTAAAATTAATTAAGTTATAGTGTATGGTAATATTTTTTATTAAATGCAGTAATTTTCATATAATTTGATGAATTTTAATGTATCAATAAAATTTGTTATTTAATATGATAATTTTAATGGGGGCATTTATAGTATTCTTTATGAATTCAAAGTAATTTTACGAGTACAAAAATAAAAATAAAAATGATGAATTTTCAATGAGTTAGGAGAAGAAAAAGACATAATCATTGCAGATGGATCCATATAATTTGAGAAAGTGAGATTCGTATGAAAGTTCTAAATGCATGAGAAGTTGATTTAACTTTTTTAGGATACGAATGTAAATTTTTGGAGTTTGATTATCTTTGTTTGTGTGCATGCACGCGGGGAAGGAGGGAGAGTAGTGTAATTATGTAAATATAATTATTTGTGTATTTATATTATATAAATTATTAAATTTATATATATTATATTTTATAAAAAATTACATGTTATAAATTTTATTAATATAAAAATATAAAATATTTTGTTATTAATTTTATAAATAATTATTATTAAAATTTTAAATCATATCATTTTTATTGTGTTTAATAAAAGAGAAAGACAATAGAAATTAAAATTATTTTTTTCATTATTTCTTTGTTTGATGACAAAGAAATAAAAAAAATCATTCCATTTAAATTAATAACTTTATTTTTAATGTTTTTTATTTTCTTTTATTTTTCATCATTCATGTAAATAAAATAAAAAATTATTTTTTCCTTTTTTTTTTTTGTTAAAATGGTGTAAGAATAGGCGGCAAATGGAGTTGTGATATTCTAATGTTACTTATTAGAGACAACAACAGTAAGATTTGGAGATCCAATACCAAAGATTGCTAAATAGATTAGGTCAATTCACTTTACAATTATTAGGGGATCAACAATGATGGGTTTTCACAAATCTGATAATGACAAAATTTTCTTCCAATCCGATCCTGCACACTTTGCGGTGCTTGCAACTCTCCAATGCATTATTTGAGGCCTCTTTTTATTTCAGTCGACTAAAGTCATGGCCGTAGCCAAAATAATAATAATAATAACAATAAAAAAAACAATTAAAGTCATGGACGACTTTTGTTTAGGGTCTATGATTATGTAGCAATGCAATAGTTAAAATACAACTTATAATAATTGGATTAATAATATAAGATATGATATGAATATAATAAAATATATATAAAAAATAATAGTTTATAATTTTAATAAAATTTATATGAATTTGATAAAAATAAAAAATATATATTTTATATTAATATAAATGTGATCATTTTTAATATAAACTAATATGATATAAATATATAAATTATTAAATTTAATAATAACAATAACCTATTAAATTTTGTAACCAAATAAGATAGAGCATATTGTTGAATTTTTTTTTAAAGCAATTTTAAAATTATATTTATCCACGTTTGATTGATATTTTTAAAATTCGAGTCAATTAAAGATAATATTTTTATATTAAATATTATATAGTTAATAATTTAAAGATTTTATTGGTTTAGGTTGGATTAAATCAAATTAACTATTCACCAAATTATGAAAAAATTGATTATCCATTTGATCTTTAATATGATATATATATATAAACAAAATATTTAAGAGTGAGATTTTCAATTAAACCCAAGATAATATTTTTATATTAAATATGTATTTCAATTTAAAATTAAAATTAAATGAAACAAATTTAAATAGATTTTTATGGTGCTCGAATAAGATATTCTCATGTAGAGCCCGTTTGATCTGGTCCGTGATAATATTTTAATATTAAAACATATTTAAGACATGCACATTTATATATTTATTATAGTACTTCATTATTAAGAATTCTTAGCATGGGATTCGTTGAATTAAACTCTTATCTCAATATTACGATGAACACAGTTTTGATCAGATTTATTTTCAAACTAGTTAGAACTCTGAAAAATTTTTTGGACAACATTGATGAATACAGACAACTCCAATTTCTTCAATGCCCAACAATCACAGAAGTTGTCTCTCAATTTACAGCAATCTTTTGTGGACAAGAAACTCACAGATTAGAAAATATCAGAAAGCAATTCTTCATATTAAAATGCTGTTCTCTCCATCCAAAAGATCTTGATCGACACTATCAATAATTCTCTCAGTATTTCTACATACTTGACGGATTCGATTAGGGACGGCAATCAACCTCGTCACCGACAGGATCCGACCCAACCCCATAGGGTCGGGTTTTTTTTTTTTTAATTTCGATTTTAGGATCGGGTATAGTTAGGGAATAATCGAGGTCGGGTCGAGTTCGGGTATGCCTAAAACCCGACCCGATATTATATAAAAAATTATTTTTTAATTAATTAATTATTTATTTAATTATATATATTTATATAATGATATTTTTAAATATTTATATTTAAAAAATAAATTTTATATTTTTAAAAAATAATATTTTATTAATTTCGGATCGGATCGGGTACGATTTATATAGTGTCGGATCGGGTCGAGTTCTGGTATAAAAAATAATCGGGTAAGGTCGGGTTCGGGGCGAGCAAAACCCGACCCGATGCCATCCCTAGATTCGACGATGTCAACTTAAAGCAAGTATTTCTTAATTCTGTTCCAAATGAACTTGCCCAGCAAACAATAACCCAGTTGAACCTCAGATCCCTTGATGTTAAATCTATGACCCTTGAAGATATTTACAAGATGATTTTGAAAGCACTTTATAAGATTTGCAAAAAGCACAAATACATCAAAACCTTGGTGCACAACTCCAAAAAGCTAGAAAAGCCCTGTTCTTACTCTTCCTCAGGACTTCAAATCAAATGTTCTTTCAAAGATCCCACATGTTTTTGCAGCAACAAGAAAAAAAAGCATTTCAGAAGATTCAGACCTTCCAGACCTCCAATAATCTTCAGACCCAGACATAAGAAGTTCTTCAGATATGCTGATAAACTCAGAATATTTCAAAGATTCAAATTTGTCAGAAAGAAGAAAGATCCAAAAATCAAAAGCTCAAAATGTTTTCTCTGTGGAAAACTATGACATTTTTCAAAGAATTGCCTAAAGTCAGACAAAAAGTCAGTCAAGATAATCTAAGACATTGCTAATATCTCAAGTATCAATCTCTCAGAAGATGATCTTGAATCAATTTTCTCCTTTGATGATGAGCAGAATGAAAGATCCCTGTTTATGATTAAACAGTTTGATGATGATGAGTATGCAGATTCAGACTACTCAAAATACTCAGATGATTTCACAAATGATCAATGTTATGAGTATATGTCAGTTTAAGAACTCCAAAAAATCCAAACCCTTTGACCTCTCAAATTACCCTTAGCTCCATTTCAGATATTCTCTCACAAACATTCCCTTCCTATAATAGTCACAGCTTTCTTTGATACTAATGCAGCTCAAACCATAGCAAACCCCCTTGTCTTACCAAAACACTTTTGGACCAAACAGAAAACCTTCTTCAAAATCGCTGATGAAAATATATTTTCTACAGACTTTGTCAACAACCCTGTTACCCTTTAAATATTTTCAGGATGTCAAATAAATTAAAAGATTTTAGGATCTCCACTTCCCCAGAAAGACCTTGTTATTGGTTTTGATATCATTACCAGTATACCAGGTTTAAAGTTTAGTGAAAAAGATATCAAGTTTGAAAGTTATTTTAGACCTTGAAAAAACCTTCCCAATCTCTTTACCCTCACCATTCAATCAGATATTTTTCAAGAATTCAGACACAAGTTCATTCACTTTTCATGTGCAAAAAATCACTCAGATTTCCTCTAAAAATATGATCACCCACTTTAAAAAAATTCTGAATTTTTCATTTCTCTTCCCTTCAAAAATGATAAAAATACCAACCTTACAAAAGCTAATTATTCAGGTACGAGTCCATGTCATTTCAAGCAAGCAATCCTAAACCGGCATGTTTAATCCGAGAGTGGGAATAGGAGTAGAGCCATAAATGCAAGCTAGCCAAACAGTGATTGTTTTAAGAACTACATAAAATTCCCCTTTCTCCTCGTGAAACAGAAGCTTTACAAAATTTTGATACCTTCTTAGTTCCGGGTTTTCACTTGCTCTGAGCTTAATAAATGGCAAAGAGAAGGAAACTTGAAATGCAAATCATACACGACGACGATGAAGAAGAAAGTGCCTCTGCTGTAACCAATTCTACTTTCTCAGGTAATTTCATGTGCTTTTTCCTTCTTCCCCATCTCATCAACTTACGAGCTTTAAGCAGCAAAAGCTTTTCTACGTGTTTTTTTTCCCTAACCTGTAATGTTCTTTCATCAATTTATGTAATTATACGAAAAGGGTATCGGCAATCAGTGGTTTGGTGTCCATTTTCATGGGTTCTTAGCTTTTTTTTGTTTTTTTTCACTTTCTTTAACAACCGAGGCTTTTCTAATGGTCTTTATCTCTCCAATGGAGGGTTAAAGTCTAGGTTTTATTTAGCTCATAAACAATTCGTTTAAATCCAGTTATGTTTCTAGTACTACATTTGATTGGTTACTCAAAACCCAGAAATTTGTTTTCTTCTTGAGAACTTTACATGAGTTTTTGGAGTTTGCATTGTAGTTGGAAGTTTGATATGTGAATTTGCTGTGTTACATGTTTTGTGGGAATATATTTTAGAGCATTGTTTTGTTTATTGCAAATGCTTTTGAAGAAGCTGAAGAAATTATATATTTAAGTTGATTCATCTGGGTTTGCTAGGTGGCTTCTCTCGTAGTAAAAGATCTCAAAGAAGAGTTAGGACCGGAAACTCCAGGCAACAGGGGATGTTAAATAGTGATCTGTTTTCACACTGCTTTGAGTACGCCCTTTGATGTGAAAAGATCAGCTTCTCTCCCTCCCCCTCCCTGTCTGTCTCTCATTCCTAATCTTAAGTTTATGGATTTTCTCAGGAACATATGGAAGAGCTTCTCGGATAATAGAAGGGCTTCTTTTGCATATCTTGATTGCTTGTGGTTTTCATTGTACATGGATGAATCGTACAAAGAAAAGGTGTTGGTATGGATCAGGAGGAAACATATTTTCTCAAAGAAATATGTTTTTGTTCCTATTGTGCACTGGTGGGTATCTCTTTGCCCTAATCATTGGATGCAATTTTCATCCTAGTTACCCCTCTTTGGTTATAATGAATTTGTGATATTTTAAGGAGCCATTGGAATCTTTTGATATTCTGCAACTTTGGTGAACTTTTGCAATCTGAAACCCGAACAACTTGTATGTTGTTGCTTGATTCACTGCGAATGGCTGGCCCAAGGCAGCTTGAACCCACAATAAGAAAGTATGCATCTGTAACCTTCTCATTTTAGAATCATTACTGTTGTTAAAGAGGATGATAATACTTTTTCTTTTTGTTGCATATTTGGTTGTTATGTGCTGCTATTTTCCTGGTTTTAAGCCCAGGTTTGTCCTTGACATATATGAAGCTGAGAAGAGACCTGAAAAGAAAGAGGTGATATCTAAAATACCCCTATTGGTGCCAAAGGTGATGATTTTTGCTGTCTGAACGGTGTCTTTCTTTATATCGGCTTTTGCTTTTGTCACTGAACCAAACCAACTACAGGTACCCCAACAGACAAATGGTGAAGCATGTGGTAGTCTTGTTCTCTATTTTATGAGTTTGTTTATGGAAAGTGCACCTGAAAACTTCAGTATCTCCGGGGGCTATCCTTACTTTGTAAGCTCTATTATTTAAACTGTCAATGTTTCATTTTTCTGGAATTTTATAATTTCAACTGACATTGGATATACACTTTTGGTGGTAAACTACAGATGAAGGAGGACTGGTTTGCTCCTGAAGACTTCAATTGCTTCTGCAAGAGATTTCAATTGTGCGGCTTGTGAATTAACTTTAACTTTAAACCATAGTGGATGACTTGCTCATACGTATCAGGTTATTAGCTGTGCATGCAAAAGAAATACGGGGCAAGTTCTGTTGTAGAACAACCTTGTTGTGCATTTTATGATTAGGTATGTGACTCGAAAATGTATCTAAATCAAGGAAGAGATCATTGACAGAGCTATTGTTACCATATTTGTTTGTCTGTTGATCTTAGCTACTAAACATCGTAAACAGATGCACCTTGAATTTGTCAACTTAAATGCTAGCGTTTTCAGCGCCTTATCTTTGTTGAATTACGGAAGATTAAAATCAATAGTTAGTTATGTGTTATGGTGTTTCTGTGTTTTATTTTGCTCTTTTGCAGGTGAGATACGTTGGCACACCAACACTGTATTATTTTAGTCCAAAACCCCAATGTCCGAGTTAACTCAAAATAGCTTATCCCATCTCTGAATCAAAAAAAAAAAAAGAAGTGTTCTCTTTATCCCTGCAAGTCGCCAATAATGGACCGATCAAAGATGGTAACTAGACGTCCCGAGTGAGTATCACACCTCGAATTTGGTAGGCTTTTACGTCTAGAAGTTTTGAGTGTATACGATATGCGTTAACTCAAATAAATCGATTTTGAGTTAATAGCATGTCTAATGTCTGAAAAAAAAAATACACATTAAAAAAATGCCTATTATATATCTATTTGAGATTCACAAAGAGTAAATACGTTTTTTTTTCCAATTTTAAAAATATAAGTTGAAAATTTTTTATATTTGATTATTTTAATACAAATTATTTTAAATTATAAATGTTCCAAAAAAATATTTAGGTAAATAAAAAATAAACAAAGAAAAAAAAGAAAAAGGTATAATGCTCAAAAGATTTCAATTTTTTTTTTCATTTTGGTCCGATAGATTAAAATGTATGGTGATCGGTGAACTAAACAAATTTAAGAAGAAAATAGAAAAAAATTATGTCCAAATTTTTTTTCTTATTTTTTAGGTTGAATTTGATATTAAATTTCTTAAGTTTTTAAATATAGATTGTCCAAGAGTAATTGGACCGTAAAAAGATAATTTTGATTGGATCAAGGCCATCTTCTTTTTTTTTTCAAACCAAAAGCCAACAACCAAAAGCCCAAAATTCAACAGAACCGCAAAAACCCTAGATTCTGGAATCCATATATATGTTAGCCTCAATAAAAAATCAACACACCAGTCGTCATTCTCCAAGTAGCTGCTGTAGCAGAGCATACGCATAATCTATCGCTGGTAAGATTTAGTTTCAATTTCTTTGATTTTATTTCGATCGTATTCTCTAATCATATTTCGATCTGTTCGTATCTCAATTCTTTTGTATTCAATCCATGATTAATACGTAGATAATCTGATTTCATTTTGATTTGACACTTACATATCTGCTTAATGATTTTAATTTCAGAAACAAGCCACATACCATTTTTTTGTCGGTATGGCAGTCACATTCCATGACTTGGGCTCTGCTGCTGGCTTGAAAAAGCTCGATGAGTACCTCCTCACTCGCAGTTACATCTCTGGGTAGTTTTCCAAAACCATTTTTGAATAAAACATTTTGACGTTGTTAGCTTTGATCTTGGTCGGTTTCTGACTTTTCTTGTTCTGTTGATTTTGCAGATACCAAGCTTCAAAGGATGACGTCACTGTCTACGCTGCTCTATCAGGGGCCCCATCCTCTAGCTATGTGAATGTTTGTCGGTGGTACAATCACATCGACGCCCTTTTTCGGATCTCGTAAGATATTTTTTCTTATAATTTTTTGTGGTGTAGCTATTATTATATGGATGTGAGAGTTGGATGTGTAATAGAACTCTTCTGTTATTTGTTGTTTCAGAGGTGTTTCTGGTGAAGGGTGTGGTGTGACTGTTGAGGGATTTGCTTCCACAGAGGCTGTTGCCACTCCTCCAGCTGAGGATTCAAAAGCAAGAAATCTGTGCTTATATGTTGTTTGAATTTAGTAACTTGGGCAATTTCATGGTTGGTTGATTTGCTAATTGCTCGAATATATTATGCAGCTGCAGGCTGCTGCTGCTGAAGATGATGATGACGACGATGATGTTGATCTATTTGGTGAAGAGACTGAAGAGGAAAAGAAGGCTGCAGAAGAACGTGCAGCTGCTATTAAGGCCTCTGGCAAGAAGAAAGAATGTGAGCCCTTCAACTCGTTTTCATTATGAACATTGAGTAGTGCTGTTTTCTTCTTTCTATTTTTCTAATAATCTGATATGGATTGGCATGTCTACTCTACATTGGTGGTTTTAAGTTTTAACTTTTTTGGATTTTTCTTTCTTTATTCCCAGCTGGCAAGTCCTCAGTGTTGTTGGATGTTAAGCCATGGGACGATGAGACTGACATGAAGAAACTTGAAGAAGCAGTAAGAAGTGTCGAGATGGACGGGCTGCATTGGGGAGCATGTAAGTGGTTTAATCAGATATGCTTTTGTTGTATGTGTTTTTAATCCTTGTAGTGCTTAAATCCGTGAAATGGCTTGGATAGTTTTCCATTTATCTTGAAATCGAATTATTTTTATCAATTGTATTTCATCTGACATAAAGTTCCTTTGATGTGGCAGGTAAACTTTTGCCTGTTGGTTATGGAATAAAGAAATTGCAAATTATGTTGACCATTGTGGATGATTTGGTATCAGTTGATACTCTCATTGAGGAACATTTGACAGTTGAACCGATTAGCGAGTATGTTCAGAGTTGTGACATTGTCGCATTCAACAAAATATGTAAGTATTCCATATTCTACAGTGTTTTTTTTTTTGGTTTCATAATTCATATGATAATCAATATATACTCATGATCACACCATATTACTTAGGCTTGACCTATGTTTATGTTCTTCCTTCTTGCAGAATGGGTGTCATGCAATAGCAGTTTCTTGGAGGAGGCTTTTGGGTTATAGCCTATATGTTTAAGATTTTCATCTGCACTTTTTGTTTGCTAGAACTTAATTTTAAGATTTTTGTTTGTTATTTTTGTACATGATACGTCTCCTGATGGCTGTCTGGACAAATATGCTGTCTGGACAAATATTCTGTCTGAATGGATGGATGGTTGGTTTGACTATAATGGAGTATCAGTTTTGCGATGCTCTCTTGGAGCAAAATTGGAGCTTTGGTAGTTTTGGTTTTTCAAATCTGCCCAATGGTTTTTCTAAAGAGATGAGTTTGAGATCATAAATGAAGGAATTTGTTATCCAAAACTGAGCCTTGAACATTAATGCAGATCCATCTACCATCCATCCAGCCAGCTGCTGTGCCTAATCTGAATCAAACAATTCAACCATTCATCAACCACTCAACATCGTCGTCATCATCATCAAAATAACCAATAAAGATAAAGAATGATAATGATTGAAAATGATGGCCGGTAGAGTTTAAATCAAACTGGATGTGGTATCAAGCATCAAATTATCATTGCGCTCATTGTCATCATCATCACATCGTAAAACTTAGGCCCTTAAAGGGCATTTAGCGGATGAAAGGTAATGCAAAGCCTCGTTAAAATAACAAAAAAACAATCTTTGAATTTTAATCTATTTTTAGGTAAATTCATATATTTATATTGTATTTAAATAAGATTTGAATTGTTAATTTATACTTAAATTAACCATTAATCTTTAAATTATATTTGAGCGAGCCTTTAATTTTTAATTTATATTTAAATTAATTTTTTTTATTTTAAAAAATAAAATTTCAAATTTCATTTACATTGATTGTAATAAAAGTTAATTTTCCGTTTGAAATAAAATTTATTAAAATATAAATAAAAAATTTAAAATTTTATTTGGATAGAAAAAAGGTATTAGATTGTGCTGATTTACTATTTTAATCAAATGTTATTTTCTCAGTTGATATTAAAACGATAACGTACAAAATAAAAGGCCAAAAACGGCGCCGCTTAGCTAGCGGCTTCCCTCCGCCGCCCTCCAAAGTCCAATCTAGTTGAAACGAAGTTTGGCATAACAGAGAAAATACTAATGAAGTAGAGCGAGTGAGAGGAGGAGAGGGGGAAGAAAATGCCCAAGAGAACAACGCACACGTACTCAGCGAGGACGCAGCACTAGATGGATCTGACTCTGATCTCTTCGTCTACACTCCGATAGTATAATAATAATAAATCGGGTCGATGCAGAAGAAATGAATGTATTTTTATACTATTAAGATAAGAAAGTAAAAATAAATAAATAAATAAATAAAATTTAATTTGCATTATGTCAAATCACTTATTCTACCGGATCTTACGGAGCCCTGTTCATACATGACATCGTCAGATCTGATCATAGAAAAAATTCTCTTCAATCGAATCGGCCTATCCTTTGTATGAGGCTTATGTCACGAACTTAAAAAAAAATCTTGAATCTTATATCGAATATAATAAGAAAATCTTTAAATATAAAAGACATATTTTTGCATGATCCAATCAATAGTTCAAGTCACACACTCCCATAATCCATTTTCTCTTCGAAGAATTTCCTTCAATTATTCATGTCATATCAAATAAATAATAAAATATTATAAAATCGAAACAAAAATCTAAATACATGTCTTTTTTTGTATTAATTTATATGTATTTTAAGGAGTATTAATCCATTTCACATGTAACCGATTTTTAAATTTTATTTTATTTTTCGTAGATCAAAAATTATTTTTTTAATAAATTTTAAATTCATTTTTATAATTTCATTAAAAATATAAATTTTTGAGTGATCAATCACGTCTTAATAAAAAAATTGATAATAACTCTCATTTTTTTCTATTTTAAAATTTCAAATATCTACGGTCCCAAAACGATTATAACATTCAGCAAAGTTATTCTTATTTCCGTGGAAATATGGAGAAAGGTTTTTGAAATGTGATTGAAGTAAAACCTTGTGATGAGCTTGTCCCATAAATTAAACTATAAATGCAACTGCAAGTTTCTGAAAGTTACAGTCCAAATGACGTGTGTGACTCTCAAGTTCATTTGCATCCTATGGAGCAGCTCAAACCTCAGCCTTGATGTGCAAACCATAACTTGTAGGTGAAATTGAATGCTAATATGTATTTTCCAGATGTAATGATATTTGATTGATCTTTTATAGATTAAACGTTTTATTTGTTTGATTAATTTAGATATTGCCTTTTTCCTTACTGAAATATATTTGTTACAAGATACCCAATCGCAGAAAATGCCCAAGAGGAAGACTGACAAGGCATATGTGTTGGACAAGAAAAAGCATCTTACTAGGCTTAACATCACTGAGGCGGGAAAAGTTCTCTTGAAGAGGTATTTAGAGTTTTCTTGATCTATTGCTGCTGTGCGTAATCATGGCTGATCACCTGTTCAATGTTTCCTAGTTTTTTTTGACATCATATTTTTTATGCTAGTTTCCTTAATTTCTTAACATGATTCATTTTCTTGACCTTTTTTTGTTTCTTTATGCATTTTACTCTTACTTTTGGCTTTTGGAAAATAAGGGGGGAAGGGGGGAGGGCAGTGATACTGGCTTTAACTTTTAGTAATTAAACTACAGTTGCACGGAAGTTTATATATGAACATGGTACCTTCTTTCAGGGGAGAAGGGAAACTGGAGAAGCAATTCCGTATGAACTGTATAGGTTGTGGCCTGTTTGTTTGCGATCGGGCTGAAGAAGATCTGGAAACTGCTTCTTTCATTTATGCTGTTGATGGTGCCCTTAGTACGGTTGCTGCAGAAACCAACCCACAGGTACAAACAATGATTGTGGAGTATTGTTGTCATCCATCATCTGTGTTTCTTTATTTCTCTAGTTATTTAGAATTTGCCAAGCGCAAATCTTTGTCAGAATAAACTTCTTCCCAATTTGGTTTTCTCCAATCAACGGCCAATATAAATATTTGTACAACGAAAAACTTCCTTTTTCTGTTTTCTTTTTGTTGTAGGATGCTCCTGTGCCACCTTGCATATCTCAGTTCGAGGGAGGACTTGTTCAAGTGGCCATAGAGGTGGAAGATCGTGCACAGCGTTCAGCAATTACAAGTAACTGGCTCCTTCAATTACCTTTTTTTATTTTCTTTATGCATGCCTTTCCTTTCACCACCTTATATTTCCTGAAATATTTTTGTAACACTTTAATGTGTTACCTGCTAAGCCAAATTCTTTTCATTTAGTTCTCTTTCCATTACATGGGTTTGAGGTCCTCTTTTTCATGCTTAAAGAGATCAATGCAGACCTCTGATGGGATGATCCTACTTTGCCATCTGTATGTAAAGAACCAGGGATGATTTTGTCCACAACTCGTTGAGCAGTTTGATAACACTTATTAATATTTATAGTATTGGAAAAACTATCATTTTATTGCTATTTATACCATTATTTAGCACAAACAATCAGTAGTGGAGATGGGAGATCAAGTACGAAGCAAGGGACATAAAGTTAAGTGGATGACATGAGGCTACCTACAAAATTATGTAAAAATAGAATGTATAGCTTCTGAAACGAGCTTGACATTTAGACATACTAATTCTGATGTTTGATTGTAATCTGAATAAGGTCAAAATTTATATATTGACAATTTAGTGCACCTAGCTCGGGCTTTGAATAATAACATTCTAAGGGAATGGCACCAGCATTATTGCTCTTCTTTTGCTGGTCTCATCCCCAGCTCTTTTTACTGGTAAACTTTAAAGCCCCTGGCATCACAATCTGTTGCAGAATTTGGGATCTCCATGGACATTTTGCTTCTTCAATGAAACTATTAACGTAAATCAAAAAAATTAAAGGAAATTCGATATTATATTAGTTACTAAGACACCTAGAATTCTTGAAAAATGTTGTCAGATCGGAGTAGATATGTTTTGCCTTAATTACATCAGGAAACCATCTTTTCTTGATATCTTATCCGTTACACTGTTACCCTACATGATGCTTTACATGTTAGTTGTTAAAACCATGAACGATAAAGATATCTTTTATTAGTATTGATTGTGTAACTTTGTCCCGGCCTTCTATTCTTTCCGGGAGTAAATGCAGTTGATGTACGAGTTACTTTCGCTGCACCTGCAGCCCCTGGTGAAGCTAACAATGAACTTTTGGAATTCATGGGAAAGGTTTTCTTCGATATTTATTCAAAGCTACTCAATTGAGCTTCAAATATTATGTAAATTACTTTAAGAAAGCTGAGTTGAAGTTATCCATCTGTGTTTTTTACACAGGTTCTGGGTTTGAGACTGAGCCAGATGACTCTTCAGAGAGGATGGAATAACAAATCAAAGCTTCTTGTGGTAAGTAGAATCAAATGCCCTTAAATTTTATGCTAGTATGCCTGTGCTCAGGCTATGGCAATTGCCAAATGTTTAACTATAGATAGTTTTTCCATCAGCTGAAAATAATGCGCAAGTCTCATGATTAAATGTCTACCATCCATTCCCATATTGAATGTCACCTCTCAGCTTTGAATGGCCATTGCAGTCTGGTAAAATTTCACTTAGAATTCTTGCCTGCCAAAATACTGTGATTGATTTTTTTTTTCTCTGCACCACTTGCACTATTTTCAAGAATGATCACGAATGTTGAGCACTGCTTCCATAAGATTATGGGCAATCTGCTAATATTTGATTCTTGCATCAGGTTGAGGATTTGTCTGCTAGACAGGTGTATGAGAAACTTCTAGAGGCTGTGCAACCTTGATGCTTTTTGCTTGCATCTTGGCTTCAAATTCTGTGTTAACCGTGACAAATACGTTATCCATTGCTTCATGAGTCTGTTAAATTGTATAATTTGTATTCTGGATTTTGCTTGGATCCATTGTCCAATTTCAGCCAAGTTTATTCCTTTCTGAGTTTAAACAATAAACTCTTTGATTTGTCCATGATTATCCATGGTGACGATACGAACAAACTGCGTATATCCATAAAAATTCATAAAAAAAATTTTTTTGATAGCCTCAATCAATGCATGGAAGTTAACAACTACGATTCAGAATACATCTTGACATACGATTTTTAATAGAAACCAATCATCTGCAGAAACAAACTAGAGTCTAAAGAACCCCAGTGAAGGGAACAAAAGTTTCTGAATATGATTGATCACTCAGCAGTTTAAGAGGTAGCACCGCTACGTATAGGTTGACCCTTCGATTTCCTAGGAGCCAATTGAGTCTCAGGCTGCAAAAGCAATCAAGTATAATGAGATTAATAAAGATTCATTGCGATTTGACATTAATAATACAGATACGAATGAGCTTATATGAAGTTAATGGTAATTTTCTCATTAAATAATTACCTCTTTTTTTGCAGGTTATTCTTTCTCTGACACAATCAGTTCAATGCGGCATGGTGAAGACAAGTAAGCTGCAATAGGATTGATACGAGCACAAACTCGGAAAATTTAAACCACACTCCTCAAATAACGCAGTGAAAAGAAATCACCCACGGTCAATTCTTCCATGTGCTCGATAAGTTCGGCGCCTTTGCTTCCGTGCTCGATTCACTTGGATGTGAGATATGAAAAATGAATCTACATCCAAGCCTTTCAACTAAGAAAAGAAGTGGAGAGATGATGCACAAGTTTAGCAGAAAGGACTGTGGCCATAATGGAATTAAGATGCCAATTCATTGATATGTATACCTCTGCATTGCTCTCGGAGTTCTTGAGCAAATCAAGAATGAATCTAGCAGATTTCACAGGCCAGCGACCTTGTCCGTTAGAATGGTGGATTTTAGCCTGTTCAGTTTGCCCAACTCCACCACAGAAGCGCCGGAATGGAATGGCTTGCTTGTGGGCCATAACGTCTTGCAAGTACCTTTTTGCCTTTGTCAAAGGCAACCTTCGGATTGCAAAGTCTGTTTCCTGTGTATTCTGTTAAATGTAAAGTACATACATAGTATTATGAATGCATATGTACTTTGGGGACAATAATTGGGTGCCATCATCGTTATTAGTCATCTTACTAATACCTTAACCATACTACTTGCCAAGGCCAAGATTACCCACATCTAATAGATATCTTTGCATAAACACGAAAATAACCATTCATAAAACATTGGCATAAGAAGCCAAAAGTAAAACCATATCATGATTAAAGAATAAAACTAAACTTCACAATTTGTGTGTTTCCGTATCGTATCTATTTCATGTTAAACACATGTAAAATACGAAAATTATTATATCATAATTTATATCCACGTTCAAATGCAAAACATATATATATTTTTATTTTTATCAAACTCGTATAAACTCATATATGATAATAAAACCATGTAGGGGCATATTTGGATAACTTCACAATTCAGAAAAAGTATGAATCTTAGTAATCTACATGTAAACTACATGTAAATTGATCAGATGATTGATTTTATACAATTGCAAGCAGAAAAATGCACCTTTAAAAAGCTCCTAGCAAATAGCAACAACTAAATTGAAAGAAAACTATTTTTCATAACCCTATAATAACCAAAAAGAGATTAGCATACCTTAATATGGACACGAAGGTCGGAGCCACTGGCTTTGCAGGCTGAAACACAAGTCATGCAATAACCAACAACCAAATTCCAATATTCTTTCAAGGAATTAAAACGAAAGGCAAGAACAAAAAAGAAAGGGCATAAAATCCAATTGAATGTTGCATGTCGGTTTCCTACATTTTCCCTGTTACCAAACAGAAGATTAAAAAAGATCTTAAGTAATTAGTAATATTTAAAAAGTAATAAAAATTAAAACTTACACCTGGTGGGGTTGTCTGGCTCTTTTGAGTACTACACCTAAAGGACAAAAAAAAAAAAAAGAAATTCTAGCAAATATTTCAACAAAAATACTGAAAGGAAACAATTTGGAACTAAACTTGAACAGATTTCAAGAATAAAAAGAGCTTTTCAAATGAAAAAGATTGACAAACCATGACTACTGCTTCTGCTTCTTCTGAGTGTTGCAGTTAGGGTTTCTAGCATATGAAAGTGATGGTTTTTGGGGTTTATTTCCATTTATTCTTTGTCCCTGTTTTTTGGTTTTCTAGGGCCAATCAAATCGGGCCTCACCTCTAAATCAAAGAGGCCTTTTTGTTTACTACAAGCCAATAAGACATTGCTACGTGGAACTAAAGGATCGACAGGACAGGGAATATGTCAGAGTTCAATAGTCAGACAGCAGATTTGTGTTTGGCTCCGTTTTTTCTTAATTTGAAAAAAAAGGCGCTCCTTTGACCGATGTCAGAGAGAAAGAGAAAGAGCAAGGCAGAACCGAACCGAACCGAATCGAACCGGATTTACTCATCTCTTTGACATTGTAAGAAAGCTTTGATTTTCTCTGTTAATAATCATAATGGCCATAGCTTTGTTTGGTTTTTGAAATTTCCAGTTTTTTTAGCAGTTTTTTTGATCTTTTTGAGTTAGAAACACAGGAAAGTTTTATGCTTTGTTGGTTTTTAGGGACCATGTTGAGAATTAGTATTAGGGTTTTTGATACATACCCAAGATTTAAGTTCCTTTTTTAAAATTGGTTTTGTTTTTCCAGTGATTGTGCTGATTTGAGTGTGACAGTTGAAGAAAAGTTCTTTTTTGATATTCCACTTCTTAATTTGATGTTATTGTTGTCAAATCAGGGCTTTGGTTGGCTACATGTTGGATTGTTGGTAGAATAGTGTGGTTTAGCTTTTGGGAGATATTTTGGTTTCAAGTTGGCGACTTTGGATGAATAACAATAATCTACCAAAGGATTTTGGGGCTCCATCCCAGTTTGGGAATTCTGGGACTGTGCCACAACTGCAATCAATGCCCATGAATCAACCTCGAACGTAAGGTGGACCTCAGTTTCCAGGCCACTTTCAATTGTCTGAGCCTCAAACACAGGTTCTTGCGCAGGCCAATACGTGCAGGCTCATGCTCAAACGCAACCTCAGGCTCCCCATTCCCAATTCCAAGCTCAGGTGCAATCGCAAAATGTTGGTAATAGCAATGCTGTCGCCACCCCTGGCTCAGGAAGTGCCAAGCGGTCTTCTCAGAAGCCACCTTCCAAAACTCCTGTTTCATCTAATGGTAATATGGCTTCTCTGTTTAAAACAATGGAGTTAACCCCGGCTGCTCTTAGAAAGAAGCGGAAGCTTCCGGAGAGACAAATACCTGATAGAGTGGCTGCAACGTTACCGGAGTTTGCTCTATATACTCAGTTGCTTGAATTTGAGGCTAAGGTGGATGCTGCTTTATCAAGACAGAAGATCAACATTCAACAGTCACTTAAAAACCCTTCATGTGTTCAGAAGACACTTAGACTATATGTTTTCAATACATATGCCAAACAGGGACAAACAGATCCTGACAAGAAGAATACAGAGGCTCCATCATGGTCTCTTAAGATTATTGGTAGGATATTGGAAGATGGAAACAACCCTGTTCTGGCTGGAAAGGTGCAGAAATCATACCCAAAATTCTCATCTTTCTTTAAGAAACTTACAATATACATGGACACAAGTCTCTATCCGGATAACCACGTGATCATGTGGGAGAATTCTAGATTGCATGCCCTTCATGAGGGCTTTGAGCTGAAGAGGAAAGGAGACAAGGAATCTACTGATCAATTATATGCCTGAAAGATTCAAACTTTCACCTGCTCTAGCAGAAGTCCTGGGAATTGAAGTAGATACACGCCCAAGAATCTTGGCTGCAATTTGGCATTACGTGAAGTCGAAGAAGTTACAGAATTATGAAGACAATTCCTTCTTTGCATGCAATCCACCATTGCAGAAGGTATTCGGGGAAGAAAAAATGAAATTCATTATGGTTTCACACAAGATAACACAGCGTTTAACTCCTCTACAGCCTATACATTAGGAAGCTTTCGGGGAACTGCCCTGTTGCATCTACTTGTTACGACATCCTGGTTGATGTGCCTTTCCTGTTAGAAAGGGAAAAGTCTGTGTTCTTGGAGAACATGGAAAAGAACAAAGATATTGATGCTTGCAATGAAGTAATTTGTGCTGTGATAAAGAAAATACATGAGCATTGTCGGAGACGAGCTTTCTTCCTTGATTTGAGTCAGTCTCCTGCAGAGTTTGTTACGCTTTAATTGCTTCCCAAGGCAAGGATCTGAAGCTTTTTGCTGGAGATGCTAGCCATAATGCTGAAAAGGAGCAGCAGTCCAAATTCTATAAGCAACCATGGTAAACCTTATTCCACCTGTTTTATTTTCATTCTTTGTTTGTTTCGATGCCCGTGTTTGACATGAATCTGTCAAAATTACCCGTTTTATGCTGCTTGATCTTGCTATTTGATTTATTTGGTCCAGCGGAAAAGAAGAAAGACTGGATGAATTAGTACTCTCATCAACTGAGCAGTTTATCTTACCAACAATGATTATCTGTCTTTAGAAGAAATTCTTAGTACTCCTGAGGATTATGCAATCCTAGGCTGTATCTACCTATGAATAATTACACTATCTTCTGGCTTCTCTGAATAAAATACAGTATGATCTAGCTATGAATTTATCCAGCTTGGTATGAGAGAGCCATGCCTTATAAAGCCTAGTGGATGCTTTGGTTTTACTTGAAAATTTTAGGGTGCCCATGGGGTGTTAAAGTTACCTTTGGAGCACCATTTAAATGTAGCAATTTCTTCATTAAAAGCATTTTCTGACAGTCTTTTTCTTTTTTCCATATTTTCTGGAATTTTTTGGATTGAAGATGCTGTAATCCGTTACCTGAATCGCAAGTCTATGGGACGGGAGTCTCTTGGAAGCACTTGAGCAGGTCTGCTCAATTATTGACTAGTCATATGAATTTCAAGGCTTCTAAGTTTCAGCCTGCATCTTGTTGCTTGTTGGTTCGGGGAAACACCAGATGCCACAGACAGAAAACATTTTGAGTGGCACTTTGGATGGAAAATTTCCTCTAAGTTGTCTGAATTCAACATGGCGTTTATTAGCTACATCAGCAAACACAATTGCTTCTTTTGTTGTATTGGCTAAATGCAATGTGCTTAGTTAGTTGACCCTTCCATTATTTCTGAATTGTCCCAATCATCTCCGCATTGGTTTAGATGCTGTTTGATTCGCTAAACCTTTAGAATATTTATGTTGCTATCATGCTTTTGAGGGTTTGAGATTGATGCCACTTAAAGCACTATGCACTTGTAATGTAAGTTGATTTGCTTTCCATGTTCTCAGGTGTATATTAAATGGAACGAATTTTGTATTCCTTAACTTATTTATGGTTCATCTTATCTGGGAAAAAGAGAATTTATTCCCTGTTATTTCTCTTTGCTGCTGATTCTTTTTGCTTTCCCCTTTTCTACTACATGCTAGGCCATTCCTTTCTTTGCATATTACTTGTTAAATCAGCAACCAAGTTGTCAAAAACAAAGGATAAAACGTTTACATTTGATATGGATCTTCATATTGATTGCATCTAAGCATTCTGGTTTTGTTGTCACAGTTACTTTAGCTTTCGCGTGACTAAAGCGGTGACTGCATCTTTAATTTGAACTGTATTATTTCTCCTGCTTATCTCTCTACATTCATCATGCTTGACTGAGGTCCTTTAATTTCCCTTTTTCTACTTAAACATGCATGATTGTAATTTGTTCCTAATCTTCTTTTATGTTTTGTATATCCATCCCCTGGCCTGCTTGCACAACATCATTTGCCAATGTGCCTTCTAGACCTAGTTTGTCCCACTCAAACAAAATCTCATTGCAGTATGAAAGAATCATGTCTGGTTTCCCCACGATTCATGGTCTTAATATTTTGCAGTTAAAGGGCGCCTGTCTGGATCTTTCAGTTTTTTGGGAGAAGTAGGGGTCTTAATTCGATTTTAACGGAATTAATTGACCGAATCAATTTAATTTGATTAATCGATCAGCTATCAAATTAATTTCAATTAGTTAATGAAAACAATTTTTAAAAAGTTTTGATTTTCAATTAATTCGATTCGAAAATCGAATTAATCAAAATTATAAATATAATTTAAATATAAAATAAAAAATACATGCAATGAATAATTTAATTTCATAAATTGTTAGAGTTTGTAACATAATATTTTGATATTTAAATATTTTGTTGGATAATTTTATTTAATTTATTTAAAATATAAAAAATTTAAAATTTAAAATATAATATAATTAAAATATATTTATTATTTAATTAATAAAAAAATTATCAATTGATCGAATTAATTTTAAAAATTTATAAATTTAATTCTATTAATAAAAATAAAATAATATGATTCAATTTTAAATAATTTAATTTAAAATTAATTGAACCAATCGATGCGCCGTACTTAATTCAATGACTGATTTGATTCTAGCAACTTGAATTGGGAGTGATTACGGCGGAGCACTTGTTTGACAAGTCTATATTGCAAACATCCAAAATGTCCACTTCTTGAACTTAACGTGAATGATTCCCTCACCTCTTTTAATATGTGGATTCTTGTAAGGCTAAGATTCGATCCTCAGTTGATCCAATAATGAGTCGACATGGTTGACGAAAATGCCAATTTCACCATTGCAGCAACCCATCATTTGATCCAATATCTTTCCATCAAGATATGTCGTGAAGAAGACTAATAAATTCGTATTAGTATAAATTCAAAGGAACTTTTATAACCTATGAAAAACACATTATTCATGCCAAAAATATGGCAAGCACCACGTTTGCCAGAGGAGGGTCCAATCCTAAACCCTGCAATATTCCAGTTATGTGTAAGGTCTTATCAGCTTGGGGCTGGAAATTGGAACATATGGCCCATAATTATTACTATTAGTAAGATATTGTGTATATAAAATTATTGGCTATTGCAGTGGATATGACAGATTAGATGGACTGAGTTTGGCATAAGGCCGGCGGGTCAGATGCTGCTGAGTGCCGTGCCTGCAGTTGCACATGCATGCTTATCCCTGGAGCCCATGCAGCCGAATGTAGGCACCTATCTAGCAATATTATTGTAGCAAGCTAACCCTATAGATACCACATATGGGCAAATGTACGCTCTTGCTACAGGAGGAGTATGGCTAGGCTTCTCAAACTGATATAGTACACCTTTTACGGCCTTTGCCTACAATCGATATATCAAGTATATATATCCCAATTGCAGGACTGCAATGCCTGCTTTTACATGTTCATGGTAAAAACTCTCCCTCCTATCACTACACATTTTTCAATCCTTTCCTTCTTGTATATATGGTGTATTTTGTAGGGTTTGATTTCAATTTATTGTGCTACTTTCAGATTGATCACCACTGGAAGTTTCCGAAGAAATTGATTTAAAGAAAAACAAAATCTTAGCTCTATATATAGTATAGTTGATTATTATCAGTTCGATGAATTAATACGAAACTGCTTTGCTCATTTAAAAGAACGAAGATAAAATAAAATTTGAAAATAGATGAAAAGATTTAACTTTAATAAGGAAATCATGGGAAAAAAATCAATCAAAAAATCAAACACGTGATATTTCTTAAAATTTGATATCTGGATACTTTCCCACCACTTAGAGTTAAGTTTGAGTCATCAAAGTGCTGATTTTCCAAACACCATCGTGAATTTGTGCAAATTAAGAAAGCAAAAAAGGAAAATGTTTTAGATCATGCAACATGCAATAAAACAATGAAATTAATGAGAAGGAGATTCTTGAAATCTTTGGTCGTCGGTCTTATTTCCTTTGATGGCCCTCATCATATCTCAAATATCAAGGGACCGATGATATAGCTACCTATTCCTTCCATTATCTGACCGCCCCTTGGAAGTTAGCTATAGCAGCGTAGACATGGATAAATAATGGGATTTTGACCTGCTGGCTGGTTCTATTAATATAGGATGAATGGCTATCGAGTGGTTCAGTTCAGATCTTTTTTAGCTTATCCTAGTGTACGATTTACACCATTAAAATAATGTTCATTTGAAACATTTAGTCGTGTTGTCACCAAACTATAGGTCAATTTCATCAATTTGTTGGAGCAGTTCTTGGAAAAGGACAAAGGCCACCAAACCTTGCTAGGTGAAGAAAATTAGCAATATCTCTAATAATTGTCACAGATAGGAAAAACTTTGCAAAACATTAAACTTTGTAGTTTACATTTCGGTGAATTGACTAACCTTTTACCTTTATATAGCAATGATAATTAATCTTGTAATCAAATTCAATTAATTTATATAATTATTTTTTAAAATAAAATTTAATAGATCAACAATTTAAATTTAAATAATTACAATTTATATTGTAATATTTTTGTATAAAAAAATTTTTAAACCCAAACATCATTCAAGTCTTAGAGTTATATATTAGGAAATATTAATTAATTAAGGTAAAAAAGAGGTTTATAAAGGTGCAAATCAACATTTATTGTCAGATCCACACCAAACAAAATGAAGCTATTATTAATTCCAATTTCAGACCTTATTTGTCAATCAACACTATCATACCCCATAATAATAATAATAAAGTGATGATAAAGTATAAATATACTACTGTATATGGAAATTAAATTATGTGGAATCTCTCCCCTTTTGAAAAGGACTGCCAATGGCGATTTGTTTGATTATATAACTTCAAATTGCTCTTAACTTGTAGGAAGGGGAGTTATGAACACACTTTTCCCTAATACAATTGGTCAGTTCTTTTTAATAGTTCCTTTATTAGGAATTTCAGCATGAGGTTTTATTGAGTACTGTACTAGTTTGATTAATTCCATGATGAAGAAGCAATCTTGTTTTAGGTTTTCAAGTGACAAAGAAGTTTTGAAAATGAAAGGAAGCAAACCAACCACTTCATCAAATCTTGATCAAATCCCAATCAAAGATACATATACTCAAATTTTGATCATGGAAATCTACACCACGATGAGGAAAGCATTTAAATAGTAGTAACAAATTAATAAAAAATAATTAAAAATATGAATCTCGTGCATCTATCATGAACTGAAACTTAAACTTCGATACGAGCAGCTCTTGAACCTCGGGAAGTGTGTATAATGCTATACATGCATGGGGAGGATTCGGTGTATCCCTCTGTCAAGCTAGAGACTCTGCATTTCAACTGCTATATAAACTTGGCTCTAGACCATATATATATATATAGTCATGTGCTATAATTTTGGTTAGTAATAATAGAATTTGGGTTTCTTATTTTAAGTACCTGTATCCTACCAGACAAACCGATCAGCACGTCTGTGTGAAATAAATATCTTTTCATAAAACTCTTTTTTTAAGGCCTTGTTTTGAATAATAGTAGGGAAGGGAAGGGAAGGAGTGGGTACCCTCTCCCTTATTTGGCAAACATTTCAATTGAAAGAAGAGACAATTTGGGGCTATTCATCGTTCAAATTAACCATCATTTCATAAAACTATCAGCATCGAATTTTTAAACTGTTGTTAATTTCACGATAAAATTGGAAATAATAGATGTATATATCTTATATATTCAGAGATTTATTTAAGTTCAAATTCTTTTTTTAAAATCAAATTTAAAGGACAATGCCACTTTTGAAACGTTGTAAAACAAGAGAGGACGTTATGGTTAATTGATTAAGAATGCTCAAGAATGGTGTTACTACATGAGTTTTGTATGGTATTTGTAACAAAAATAAAGTAAAGGGAAGGGAAGGAGTGGGTACCCTCTCCCTTATTTGGCAAACATTTCAATTGAAAGAAGAGACAATTTGGGGCTATTCATCGTTCAAATTAACCATCATTTCATAAAACTATCAGCATCGAATTTTTAAACTGTTGTTAATTTCACGATAAAATTGGAAATAATAGATGTATATATCTTATATATTCAGAGATTTATTTAAGTTCAAATTCTTTTTTTAAAATCAAATTTAAAGGACAATGCCACTTTTGAAACGTTATAAAACAAGAGAGGACGTTATGGTTAATTGATTAAGAATGCTCAAGAATGGTGTTACTACATGAGTTTTGTATGGTATTTGTAACAAAAATAAAGTAAAATGAAATGATCATGTGAACCATTCAGCTAGCTTCTAATTGCAAGGAAGCAATAAGCATATATATTACGTTACTAATAATACTTAAAATAAGTTTGGTGAAAAAGCAACAAAAACAAGCCCAATGCCAAAAAAGGCAGTCTTATTTGTGCATGCTTTTTAACTTGATGGTATAGCTTAGCTATAAGCTAGCACACAATAATTCTTTCATTGATTTACGGGCGTGCTAATAATAAATGGCAAAGAGACATACGTATAAATGGAAGAGCAATTTGGGGTTGCTGATTGCCTTCTTTCTACCTATCATGCATCCAACATGGCCGTAGGGCACGCCAGGACGAGCTAGCCCCTGGTTCAACCCTTTCTATCCGATGGGGGTGAGGGCATGGGTCTGCTTGGCTTAACAATTATGTTTATATATAGTATAAACCACTTGATTTGGATTTTATGTAGTCTCTCTTATAGAATAGAAGGTATGCTATTTTAAGAAAACGGAATTTGAACTCAATTTTTTTTTATATAAAAAACTCGTAATTTGGAGATAAAAAAATGAATTAATCTTAGATTTGTTAAATATTAATTTTTAAAAATGATTGTATGAATTAATTAATATAAATTTCATATTCATGTATCGGATCTTTGATTAAAGAAAAAAAAAACACTTGTTACTGAATCATCAAGTACTTGTAAAGTGTTATTTAAAAAAAAATCACTTTATGTGTAGTTTTCTTCAAAATTTTAAGTAATAAATAAAAACCTATATAATGAGGGTTACATTTATTAATAATTTCATCGATAATTTTTTAAAAGAATTAAAGACAAAAAAGATTATAACAAAAATTTCATAGTAATTAATCATAGTTCATAAATCGAATTTAAATTTCTTTTCTTGAGAATAAGGTTTATGATTATTGTATTATAGGGATGAATGCTTGTCTGCATTTTATGCACCTTAGTGCCACAAAAATGTGCCATCCCTTTATCAAAAACTACTGTTAATTAATATTGAAGTGGCCAGGGAGAGAAGATAAGGTTTGATATATATGAGACATCCCTTTATATATAAATATATATAGATATATATGGCAAGGTTCGTAATTGTTTAATTTTGTTAACTTCATTAATAATAATGTATTATTTAAACCAACATTTATAAATACTTATTTTTATTACGAAAATTGAGTTTTTTTTTTTTTTTTTTTAACAAACGAAGTTGTAACATAAAAAAAAAATTACAAATATTGAAATTTAAATAGTAACTTAATTTACGCATAGGTGGGTCGATCAAATAAATTAAAGATAAATTTAGTGAAATACTATATTCATTAAGTTTGAGCCACTCTTTCAAATCCTTCTCCTTACCAACACCTTGAGCCCACCGGCCATATAAGCGGTTAAGAGAGGAATAAAAATCGGTTGGTCCTGACAGATAGGTCTGATCTCGAACCGTCTCAGTATTGAAGCCACCACATACTTCATCTGAATAAACGCCATTTCTTTCCCAAGGCAAACTCTTGGACCGGCCTGAAACACTGGAAACTTGAAAGGGCTCACTGACTTTAGCAACCCATTTTCTGCACCAGGTTCCCGGAACCATCGGTCTGGTTTAAACTCGAACCGGTCTTTCCCCCACAACTCCTCCATCCTCCCCATTCCGTATGGGAAATAGGTAACCCTATCTCCCTTCATGACCAAAGTCCCGTCGGGTAAAACGTCGTCGTTTAAGGCGTGCTTGGAGTCCCATGCCACTGGAGGGTAAAGCCTCATTGACTCACATAAACAAGCTTTAACACAATTCATTTCCTTTAACACTTCGAAATCCAACCCTTTTTCGCCATTGCCAAGCATGGATTCGATCTCTTTCACCATCATTTGCTCTGCGTTTTGATGCTTAGAAAGCAACCAAAAGAGCCAGGTCAATGCTGAGGACATCGTATCTCTTCCAGCCATGATGAAGCTAATCACCATATCTCTTACCACTTCGTCGTCGTGCCCAGCTGATAACAATCTCGACAAAAGATCTTCGGTTTCTGCTTCAATAGCTCGTTTTTTATTTTGGATGATCTCCAGAACACAGCCATGGACGAGTTGAATTGCCTCTTTGAGTTTCTTTTCTGACCCAATGTTAAGGGCTCTCTTTATTTTCCATACCACGAACATGGGTGCCATTCCTCGCATGGCGCTTATCTCTGATGCGCTATCAAACGCCTTAACGAGAGGCGGCACTGGTTTTGAAAGATCCAAGCAACAAGGGTCATGACCCAATGATACTTTACAAATAGTATCAAATGCAAATCTTCTCAATACGTCTTGCAAATCAAGAATTTTGTCAGTCTCCATTGCTTCTTCAAGCAACGGTAACAGCCGACTTTCGACTTCTTCTTGAAGGGTTTTCACCACGAATTCTCTCAAAGACTTCGTGCTAAACTCATGGCTGGCTAGCTTCCTTTGAGTGCTCCACAACTCACCATCCACATTAAATATCCCACAACCCAGAAGATCACCGAGGATTTCGGTGAAAGGCTTGCCCTTAGGGAAATTGTTGAAGTTGGTCTTGAGCATGTGCTCGACATTAGCCGAGTTGGCTGTGACGACTGTACGACGTCCACCGAGCCGACTCACGACGATGGTCTGGCAAGGTGACTCGGACAAAAGGTCAGTGTACCAATCCAAAAGACGACGGCGGTTCTTGTAAAAAGAGATGAGACAACCAAGAAAGGGGTACGAAGGAGGCCCAACATTGGAAGCCAAAACCGATTTCTTGGCCAAAAAAGAGTGTAAGAAACAGAGTAAGAAAAACCCTAAAGCAAAAACCATGAAAAAACACATAACCATGGCTGCAGATTATACAAAAAACAAAGCTATGTATAGTTTTTTGGCACAAAAACAAAGAGAGGAAGAGATGGGAATTTATATAGGAGATTGAAATAACGGACAAAGCATATTATAAGAGTAGAAGGAGAGAACGAGAGACCGACCAATAAAGCCAATGGTTAAGAAGCTTTAGATTGGGGTTTGAAAGGAAAGAGACAAATTATAAATGAGGTCACATGATTCTCGAGCTCAAATTTGGAACTGAATGCGGCGGGGTCACCATTGTCATTTCAGTTCAGACACATGCGTTTCTAATTTCTTTCATTTATTTATACTTTTATAAAATATTTAGTCCCGTGACCATAGCTGCACAGCGTGCAATTCAGCTCGCTGAGGAGACGTGTCACTTTGAGTTCCACCTTATTTTTTTGAATTGAAACAAAAAAATTCATGTTTTTTTAATTTGAATTATCTAGAGTTTAAATTATTCAAATTTATTAATTCTTTTGATTAAATTGGATTTGGTTGAATATAAGTTCGATTGAATTAGATTAATTTTTATAGTTTAGATTAGTATTATTAGTTTCTGTAGTGAAAAATTTTCTTTTATAATTGAGATTATTAAAGATTGAAATTTAATTATTAAAATTATAAAAATTTAATAATCTATCAACATATCATACAATTTTTTACTTGCAGTGAGAAATTTATCTAGCAATGATTTTTTTCCTTTATTTAAATCCTGACGAAGATTTTTAAAATATTTACAGCAAATTATATGGTAAAAATTGGGCATGACAGACAAGTCAAGTAAAGGTGGAAAGGAATGGGAGAGTAACGTAAAGATGCATGTTAATTTATAGATTTATCACAGTTCATCCCTAAACCTAATTTACAAATATGGTCACATGGAGCTCGTGGGTTATCTTATGTGATCAACAAGAAAGAAATGGACCCATGATTCATCTGCATTTTCTTTTTCTTTTTCTTGAAGGATTTGATAACCCAACAAAAGTTATCTTCTCTTTTGTGTTTTTAATCTTTAATTTATTTGTATAATTTTTTTATACATAAACAAAATTATATATATATCATTCCCCAAATTCTACCATTTATCTTTAATATTTATATTTAAAATTTTAAACTAAATCTCAAAATTTTAATTATTGTTTTTTAGTACTAATTTTAGTTATTGTTTATACTAATTATTATATGTGCATATATGAGTATGTGTACGTTTACCTATGTGTGTGTATATATATATATATATATATATATATATATATTGAAGTTTGGATAAATATTAGTAAAAGAAAGGAAAGGAAAGGAAAGGAAAGGAAACTAGAGTAAAGGAATGAAAAGTTTTTTTAAGGAAATGAAATGATATATGTACCATTTGTTTGAATATTTAAAATTAATAAAAAAAGAATTTTAACAATAATTGTTTGGTTAAAAAATGAAAAAGGAAATAAATGATTTATTATATTATTTTTTTCGATTATAACTTTTAATAATATTTATTTTTATTATAACATTTACATGTTTATGTTAACGTATTACATGTTTTCAATTTTTTTATTTCTTCATAAAAATAGTTATCAATAAAATTTATGGAATTCATATAAATAAGACAAAAAAATTGGAGACAATAGTTTTGTTGGTAAATGATGTTTTGTATACTCAATTTTAATTTTGAAATTTAAAATAATACACTTTTAATTTAGAGAAATTAATAAGAATATAATAATCATTTTATATTTTTAAAATTTTATTCTTTCCCTTTTCTTTCCTTTTCTCCCAACTTGGGGTAATTAAAAAATGAAAAAAGTTGAGAAAAATCAAGAGGAACTAAGTATACCTTCCTTTTCTTTATTTTTATTTTTGTTATAAGTTGTTTTAATGTTTAGATACGCATTAAAATTAAATGGTGTATTTTTGGTGATAAAATCTCTTTTTAATATTATTTTTCTGTCACACACACACACGCACTCTCTCTTAGTTATTTGGCCAATATTTAGATTTGTATTTTTGAACCGTAATCATTCATTTTAAATGTACTTAAGGAAACAAAATCAAAATTTAATGATATAGAGAAGAATACTTAGCTAATATATATAGATACTGATCAAGAAAAATCACAATTATCAATACTCGTGTTTCAAAAAAAGTTGATTATTTTCATATAATTACGACTTTTTTTTGTATTATATATTTGAAAAGTTGTCGGTGTGGGAATTGATTTTTTTCTTTTTTTTTTAGGGAATGTGGGAATTGATTTAATTGAAAGAAATGAAGTAAATATGGTTGAGTATTATATAATTAGATTTTGGTATTTTTTGTACAGTAAATATTTAACATGAGGAAAAGCACAAGTCACATTAAAATTATTTCCAGTGAACATATATGTTGAATGACATGTCAAAATAGCTCCGAGTTTTGGTTTTTTTGTATAGCAGAAAAAAATATTATTTTATTAAACTCTCTCGAATATGAAATTTTTAAGCGTCAATTTTAATGACATGCTAATTAATTTTAAAATCAGTCGGGCAAAACAATATTGTTGTAAAATTTTTTTTCTTCTCTCTCAAGTACATGAAATAGTGGAAAACAAAGTGAAACACCAGCATTTTAATTTCCTAACATTAATCCACTTATGCAAGCACATGTAACTTTGAAATTTCAAAGCAACTTACAAATTAAACCCGGTAGGTTGATGCCCTTTCATCTCTCTAAGATCAACTCTTCTTTGAAGTTCACAATATTCATAGCAACAATATATATTGTACATTGAGTTCACTTTTAATATATTGATAATAAAATTTTTTAATTTTACGAATTAAATTACAAATTTATCATATATTTTATTTTTTATATTTTAAAAATACATGTTATCTTACTAATTTATATATATATATATAAACAAAAACAATAATAGAAGAAAAAAGACGATTCAGCTGTAAGTGTACGAGGTTGAACATAGTAGCACGACATTAACATTGAAAAGTAGCGAGTTAGTGAAGTATGTAATGATAAGATTCTGACAACCCTTTCAGTCTTTTTAGCACGTGCTAATTTTAATTCTTGACATTTTATGGTCTTGGACTAGCAGCTTTAGCCTTTGTTCTTAAAATGCACGGTTCAAATGTGTTTATATCAAAGTCAGTAATGATTACAAAAGGACTAATTTAGTTGGTAAAGATAGAACGTAAAATTTAAATTCGATTTTTATTATTTAATAAATTTTTTTAGGTGGATTATCGTTAAATTTAATATAAATTTTTGTTAAGATTTACGGTATATATTATTAAACATATAAAATATAAAAATTAATATATTATAATTTATATTAATACGTAAAATATAAAATATATTTTTAATTTTTATTAAAATTTATTTTAATTTATAATTTTTACCATATTTAAAATTATTAAATTATTTTAATTTTAAAATAAAATAATTTTGTCACTTATAAAAAAATTTAATAAAAATTAATGAGTTATTAGTGCAAGGCAAATCAATCACTTAAAATTCAAAACCTAAAAAGCTGCCAGCAACTTTTTTTGGTCCTTTTCATCTGACTAATATCTGATTACTAGTAATAATTTTTCTTAATGTATGTTTCTCATTGCGCCAAACCAAAATAAATAAATAAAATCTTTTTTTATGGTCAGAAAATAAAAAGAAATCTGGTGCCATACTACTACTACGTGACGCCGAAATTCGAAAAGCAGCACGTGAAAAATTAAAAAGCACGTTTTGAATTTGTTTCAACAATGTGGGGACGATCGACAAGCTTTGACTAAGACATGGTCCTTTAACACTGCCATCATCATCACCTCTGTCCCTACCTATCGAATGCCCAATTATATCATCATTATTACGATTTTACACCCTTCGTTTTCATTTTTATCCACACACTAAGATCAAAAGGAAACAAAATACTAGTAGGCATACCAATCACGTTATTCTTTTGTGACCAATTTTATTTGTTTTTATTTGATTTTTAAAAAAAAATTAAAAATTTATTTTTATGTGTTTTATATTAACAACTTAAAATTCAGTGAAATTAATATTTCATAACTTTCATTACGAGCAAAAAAAAAAAGTAATAAAAGAATTGATTTATTCATATAAAATATGATATTTAATAAATTTTAATATGAATTTTAATCTCAATAATTTTTTTATATTTAAATTTGGATTTTTTTTGTTAGAAAAAACTCGTGAAAAAAGTTTAATATGTTGCCATACTTGTCATGTAAGTGATCTAAGTAAATCTTGGATCTTTTAGAGTGGTAGTCGTGATCGTTTTGGCCAATTATCTACATTCCACCACCAGTCATTGTGCTTACCTAATCAAAGCATGACTACTTTCATTCAATCATTTGGCCACTCTCAATTGATATAATACGGCGCCGTCTTCCCTGCTAAAACGGACACACTTCAAACCACGTAAGGGTTTAGGTTTGAGGGATGACAAAAATCAAACAGTTTAGTTGTTTAGTCCGAAGATATATATTGGTGAGGTCTAGTCAGATTGTGACCAATGGGTGGGTTTTGGCCAGGCAATAATTGATGGGACCTTGCACCGTCCACTATGGTAATCTTGTCCAATATTGGCTCGAGGGAATTCAAAGTTGAAACCAAGTAAAAGGTATCCCCATCAATGGCAAGGCAGCTTTGGCATGATTTTAACCACTCTCCCTCGTCCTGCCTTATGCTTGAAACTTCACTTCCTAGTAAAAAATCATCTTTTCTGCACGGTCACTGTCAGCTTGGTTGCTTTTAACATGTATAGAATAGAGTTGTTGCAATCGACATAAACTCGTTTATTTGATGAACATTTTTACCGACATATAGTCAATTATGCTTATATTTTGAATTCCATGTTTTGATATTCTCGTTATAGTCTTAATGATGGTATTTTGGATATCAACGGGCTGATAATGATTTTGAAGTTAAGCTGAGAACGACTTGTAATAAAAAAGCACGGTTAGAGGATATCGTAGTTGATTCTCCAAAATACAATCCAACGTTCAATTAATCAGGTGTTTAGATTTTATAAAGGAAGAAGATGAATTATAAAAAAAAAGTCAAGAAAATTCAGAGGAAAAAAAATAAAATTACCGTATATGAATCTCCTTTTTATCTTCTTGATAATGTATGTAGTAGATATAATACTCTATACTTTTCTAGCTTTAAAAGAAAATTCATTCATGTCGGTTTGAGCCAAAGTGCCTGATCTAAAATTGAGTGGCCAAAACAGAAAATTAAAGAAAAAGCAAAAAAAAAAAAAAAGTGATAAAAGTTGTACTTTCACACATTTAAGTATAAGATCCAAGCTTCAGAATTCTGGGCCTTTCCACGTTATAAAGCTGCATCCTGAAATTGGAGCAGGAAATGATGGAGGAACTACATGGACCCATTGCAAAACTTATCAAGAAGTTACTAGCAATGAGCCCTGGCCACATAAAATCGATAGCTTATCTCCAGACTGCATTTGTTAGTCATAGATGGGTCCATGTTAAAACCCAAAGCTAGATCAGATAATTGAGATATTCATATGAAAAACACAAAAAATATATATATCATATTAAAATTCACGAAATATATTATTATATTTTTATTAAAAATTTAAACAATATCATTTTCACATCAAATGTTTATACTATATTTAAAATAATTAGATGTGCCCAAAGTCCATTCTTAATAACTATAAACTACTTGGTTATTCTAAAACAGCACTAATCATTTTGTTATGGTGCAAACTGGGTAATACTTGATTAAAATATTTTCGATAAGCACTCCTGTTTACTGTCATACGGTTCCATTATTTTCTATTCTTGTGAGGAATTTTTCATAAGTAAAATTCGAAATATATCGTACTGACTTGAAAGTATGTAATTCTAAAATCGTTTGAGAAAAAAAAATTAAACCTAAATATTCCAAGCTGTAATATAAAAAAAAAAATGTAGACGTATACAAGATAAAAAGTTATCTGATGACTGCATTGTAGCAAATGCATGGGGCTGCCAAAAAAATCTCTAATTATTTGCATGAACTGTAATGCACTTTTTTTTTTTTTTATTTGATTGAACAACAATCAAATGTATAATTTGTTTGTTTTTATTGCTAAAAAATTGTACATTTTGTTAAAATAATTACCGATCATCACTAAGCAATTTCAAGGAAGATAGCAACTAAAATTTCAATAAAAGCAAAATTAAAACCATGTTTAAGTAATTAACTTTAAGTAATTACACAAATATTACCAAAAAAGAGTTTGAAAACTTCAGTTGAGCCCCGATTGCTCCCTTTGTAAATCCCTCGTCTCTGATTCATTCTTATTGTTTTTATGAAACGCTATCCTAAGTAAACTCTAGCCTTTTCTGGGCCACCCTTCTAAGTTACACCAAAAACAACATGATCGCCTACCTCTGTTCCCTCTCTGCCTGAGAATGCATTGAAAGAGCTGAAACGTCAGTCCCAACTTCTGAGCTCAACCATTTACGCAGTTCAAGCGTGCAATCAGCTCATCCTGCATGGTTCAATACATAGTTAGATCAGTCCAGAGTTTAACTGTAATTAGCATCGAAAGGCAAATGAATCACTACATGGATATTGATTCTCGGACCATTGAATATAATCAATCCAGAGGCTTGAAATTAAAAGAAGACTATAAGACAGTATCCAAGAAAGTTTTCATGAGAACATGCCTTCTTTCCTCTGGGTGAAAGTCCTCTTTCCTTAAGAAGGGCGCGAAGCCTCTCCACAGTCAAACTATGGTAGTCCTTCTCAGCTGCACGGCTGCTTGATCCCTCTGCAAATTTTAACAGGTGATCAACAACATTGCAATAGAAGTTTCAAATCGAGAGCCTGTAGGACCAATAGATCCGCCAAGACATAAAACACATAGAACAGAATGCAGCCACTTATAAAATAATGCATCAGTATTAAATTACCATTCCATAAGTCAATTGTTATTCAAAGTAGAGACTGAAATGTACTATAAAGTCATTTTTAATATGTAAAATAAAATACCAGCTATAAATGACCATAGTGACATTCTAGTTTCTTGACAATGTTGACCCCATACATTGTGAACCATGCAAGTGAATACACACATAAGTCTAGTGCAAAACATCTATTGACTGACCTGGTCGAGAACTACTTTGCGTATTGGCTTTCTTTGATGCAGCCCTGCAATCCATGACTCTTTCAGCAGCCCTGAGGGAAAAATTGGCAGGTATCAACCAATCTAGCCTAGGCATCAAGTATGACCACATGCAATAAGATGTCTTTTGCTCTGGATATCTATACGAATGCAATAGCACATGATGTAATCCATGCAATTTGCTACAAACAGCAGGCTGAACGAAGCTATGAAAGGATGTTTACATCCCAATTCCAAAACAAGGGTAATGAATCATAAGACAACTAACAGAAATATACACAATAATTGTAAAAAGACAAGTTAAATATCAGTCACCACAAGAAAGATATAATCAATACCTCTTTCTAGGGCCCTCAGCTGCAGCTTTCACATCCTTCGAACTGGAATCACCCCTATTGTTATTAAGCATGAGTGACCTAATAAGTATGTTTTGTTGGTTTGTCTTTATGTGCTGGCTCTCTGGATTTACAAGGGATAGTAAGATTATCTAGCTTGTGAGTATGAACAAGCTCAAAACTATTTTCTTGCACTAGTGCCTATCTTCTTGAGAATCCACAACATAACAAGCAGAAAATGTATGCATATGCAAATTATAAACAAGAGGACAGTAACATAGGTATTGGAAGTTTCCTCTACTTTCTTACTGTTATACATAAAACAAGAATCAATAACATATAAATAGAAATCAAATTATAATAGCAATTTAACACTGATGATATGTTCATACCATTAAAAGATATGTGACTAAGTTACAGCTACGAAGAAATATAGATAAAGGGCATCAAATCTATATCCTTAAGATAGATATATAAATTCTGTATGTACTTTGCATTAGGAATATGTTAAGCTCCTAAACTCTGGAATCACATGAATAAACTGTTGCAATGAATTCCAAATCTTAAATTTACAATGAATTTTTAAATCAGTTTTTTGTTAACTATTTTCATAAAATAGAAGAGCTTCAAAATTACATGCTATTATAACTTTTAATTTAGTCAAAAAAGAAAAATAACCCATTAAAAACATGAAGGTGGAAATGAGACAGATGTAAACCAAGTGCCAAACTGCAATTAAGAGTAGTATGCTTTAAGAATTGAATTCCAATTAAGCCTCTTTCACAAATACTACAATGCACTAGTTGGCAGAAGGCTGCCTGTGCTTCCTCCCAAACAGGTTGCACGCATATATTTTTATGACCTTTAGTGAATGCAAAGGTCTGAATTTTAGGGACCATTCTTAAATAGAGAAATATAGAGTACATTTATGATCCTACGCATTAAATATAGAAGTAAAAGCATTAATAACAGTGATTAATGATTCTCATGTTGCAAAAGCAGAGATTCTGTGGGCTAATGGCCATGCATATATTAAATTAAAATAAAAATAATTAGCAAACTCTCAAAACATATTGAAAGTCCACCATAAGTTGAAGTTTACAGCCACCTGGAGGAGAAGTGTTGTGCTCACAAATATAAACTCTCATCCCCCCCTGCAAAATTTTGCAATCTTAGTAACATTTTTTTTACAAAATGATATGCTCTTGGAGAAAGAAACTAATTATTCGTACGAAAATAACAAGACTTAAAATTTATCCGTTCAAAATATAAAGCAGAAACAATTACAAAAAAAATTACAATTAAATGAAAATGATGATATCAATTAAGAAGATCCAAAGATGCATTACACATTAAAGAAACTTGTTAGCAGCGGTATAGGTGATTGCAATAATTCAAGCTACACAGCCATCCAACAAGTTTCGCTCAAGAAACCTTACTAGGCTGATTTATTCTTTAACCAAATGAGAAACTCTTCTTATCTTGCTTTCATTTTAGAAAGGCATTTTATATTAATGGAATCGGAAACCAGGTTTTACTTTTTTATAAGTTTTAGAGAGACTCCTTGAAAGAAATAGCATTGGAATACTTTAAGAGGTTCCAAAAATGAGCTGCTAAAGAGGCTGTGCTCAAAACCGGATGCCAATCTTATCAGGGAAACAAAAGCAGGGGAGATGAAAGAAGCAAAATAGGCAGGGAGCTCCACTGTCCGACAAACTTCCAGGATCCTGATTAAATGACATCATTGTGCGGCAAGATACAGTTAAGGTAGTTGGAAAAGAAAATGGTACAACGATAAAGAGAGATAATACAAAAAGCTATTATTTGAGAAGTATCTCGACCTCATGGAAATACAGAACACATGGGGAATTGCTCTAGCTTGAAGAGTAGAGCACAGGACATTCAAAAAAGACTGTAACAAGTACCTAAAACCAATGTAAAGAATAAGCATCCCAGGGTCTAACCGGCTATCTCCCAAACCCTCAATTCTTAACACATAAAAGAAACAATCTGCCAGGAAAGGAATAAAGGTTATGATGTATCAAATGCATCTTAGCAAATGGAAACATCTTACAAGAGAATGCTAAACGGGTAACATATTCGACCATTAAATCCATCTGTTCGGAACATATAAAAAACACAGGAAATTATACCAAATTGAAATTAATAACCCCCAAAACAATTTTATTAACAACAATTCAAGATGGTAATTCCAAAGAGATCATGCTTTAAAACACATCTTTATATAGAAATCCTGACCCTGTATGAAAAGAGTGTATTTCACTAGTAAAGGATCTTCATTAGCTCAAATAACAATTTGCTCTCTACTTTCTATGTCAAATTTCCCACCGTAAAACCCTAGAAAACCATCAATCAAACATAGACTTACTGACATTTGGGAGAGGTAGTATTCATCAATAAACACATTAATCGATATAGCCTAAAACCCCGATTTTGAACCCTAAATTTTTTTTTTCTTTTCGCTGCTAAAACTATACATCCTACTCAGAGATTATTCTAAGCTAATCATGACCCTTGTTTTTAAAGTTGAATTCAGTGAAACTACTTTACTTCAAATAAACAATTTTACGCTTCTTTCACTTGTCACATTTTCTCGGCGACCGAAGCACAAAAATCAAGAGACAATAATAATAATAATAATAATAAAGATTGAAAATAAATGAAATTAATTAAATAAGCGAAGGAAGAAAAAACCAGATTGCAGGAGATGACAGTGGACGAGAGGTGGCCACGAGAGGGAAGGTTGGAGAGGAATTTGGAAGCGCCAGAAGGCGTTTGATCATGATCAAAGGACTGAGAAGAGGAGTCCTCCATTGGCCTTTGAAAACAAAAACCCTCGCCCTGAAAGTGTTTTTTAGAGAAAAAAACAACTAAATAATGGGGGAAGGAAAAAGACAAAGAAGAAGGAGGACAGGAAAAGACGAAATAGGGCAGTGAGGGAAAAAATCGGGATTTTTATTTTTTTTATGTAATAATTTTTTGGTGGTTAGAAATTTTGAACGGGAAAAAACCAAAAGAATTGATGAGAAAAGTGGATCCAACCAAACAGAGCATCAAAGTATACATCATAGATTTATTATTTATTTTAATATAAAAATTTATCAGTATGGAAAATTATCAATTAAGGATAGTTCACTTTAATAAGGAATTTAATTTCAATAATAAAATAAATAAAAGTAGTCAACATTTTAATCTAATGGAAAAATCATTAAATAAAAAATTTTAATAAACTATCAAAACTATACATTTATCTATGGTATATAATGCAAATAATTATATTTGGAGATAACAAAAAAACTTATAAAGGTTAAATTTAAATTTTAAATTTATTAGATACAACCAATTGAATTAATCTTTGGATAAATTTCATCTTTTTAATTATAAAATAAATTCTTTTGCTGCTAAAATAGAGCCAACAGCTGAGAATAAATCACTGAGAAAAAATAGACAAAGCCCAAATGTGAAATGAGGTAAGCTTTCAAGGGAATAACCAGTCAACTAGTACGTCTTATGTTAATTATGAGCGGATAGAATTTTTGATAAATTATTTGTTAATATATTTGATTTTTATTTATTTATTAAATTTAATAAATAATTTTAAAAATATTTTTATATTCATTTATTTAATGAATAGAATATAAATAAAAATTTATTTAATTCGTTTATATTCACAAATAAATTTATTTAAAATTTATTTATTTATTATTTATTTATTACTCATTTACAATAATAATAATAAAATTACATTTTTATTTTTACTCTAATCCTATTTAAAGTTTGCTTATATTTGTTTGGATTAATGTATATTTGTTTAAAATTTATTTATTTAAATTTATTTAATTATAATTTATTTATTATTTATAGACATATTCGTTTCTATATGTTCATAACATATTCGCTTAATTTTTACAAATAAATTTATTTAATTTAATTAAAATTAATACAAATTAAACATAAATATCTTATTTAAACTTATTGAATTAAACGTACAAAATAATTTTTTATTGAATACAAACTAAACTTAAACATTTATAAAAATAAACAAATAAACCATGAAAATATATTCAATATTTCATTTTTTGTTCATTTGCAACCTTAATCTCAATAAATTTGCATGCAAGCTAACTTTTTTTCTTACTCGCAAAATCAAAACTATCATTTCTTTCTCAATTCTTTTGATCGTTTTTAGAACTTTAGAGATTTAAAAATTTTAATACATTATAATATAAAAATTTATTTAATATGATCAAATCAAAGTTAAATTTTAAAATACTTATCTAAGCTCTTATATCAATTTTAAATTAATTTAAATTTTTTTATTTAAATTTTTTTAATATTTAAACAATTCTTCAAAGTTTGAACCGATAATTCAGTTTATAAATAAGTCTCAAACAAAATTTTAATTTATATATTGATCCTACTAAATACTATACATGGTTATTTTTTAACATACTCTTATCAATCATTCTTCAATTATTAGTATAACTCATTCAGTTATGACTCATGACATAGCAATTTTGTTGGTCCAAAAGAAATGTCAGTTTCTCTAAATCAAGCATTACATACGTATTATGGGGTTTGTTGATTGAAAGAAAAGTAACATATTTTTTTCTCGGGTGTTGAGAAAATTGCCATTGTTTTCTGAAGATGATAAACAAGTTTAGAGTTTCATTAGACCACGTGTGAGACAGTGATGGGGAGGAATGGCTAAGGACTGAGGCAGTCACCATCCCAAGAAACGTCAGAAATCCACAAATCCGAATTAACAAAAATTTGTCGTCAAAACCGGGTGCGCAAAGCACTCCCTCGGCTCACATTAGAGTGGCCGCCATTAAAAACCGGATAAGACAGCTTTTTTTAGTCTTTTCCTTTAATAAAACCAGGAAACCAGGATCAGGATGGCCAACAGTACCCCCCACATGACATAAAGTTTGACCTGGACTGCCTTATCAGTCTCAATGTACCCCCACATCATTGGCCGTCCACGTGCCCCTACAAACTTGTCAAACCCAAGTTAATGGTCTGATCAAATCATTGTTTGCACCCTTGGACAGTACTTAAAAGCAACCCTCTTTGTCTCATGTCCAAACTTATATGCATCAAACATTTGAACGATCCAAGTTGTCCGCTTGTGAACTTTCAAGTTACATATCAGAAAAATAACAGAGAGAGAGAAGTTTCTTTTTGTTTTTGGTTCTTCAGTTTTGTTGAACATGGCGAGTGTGCAACTGAAGAGAGAGAGTAGCATGCAGGAGAGTCCTAGGACTCCAGAGGCGAAGGTGGGGATGCAGGTGGAGGATCTGTGGGATGTTCAGGAATCAAAGCTTAGTCCTACTGAAAAGCTCAACGCTTGCTTTGAGGGTATTCCTGTCTCTGCTTTCCCGCTTGCCACTCGAGGTTGTAACTTTTCTTACTCTTACTGTTTCGTTCATCAAATTGTTTGTACTATGTTTGACTGCTCAGGTTGATCAAGAATTTTGAGGGTTTCGTTTTAGGGGTTTGCGGGTGAGTTTCAGCTAAACAGATGAAGAGTTTTGGTTGATTAGATGTTTCGAGGATACCCAATAAAGAGAAGATTTTTTATATTAAATTGTTTGTATTAGCTTTAATTTCAACAATTTCTAAACAAAAATTTTTAAAACCAATTTATAAGAGAATCAGTTATTGGAATTAAAAAAAAAAAAGGATTGGGGGGGTTCTTTATTGGATACCAATTCAAATAATCCTTTGCTTATTCTTTGTTAAAAACATGTGAAATTCTGTTTCCAGGGATTGAGATAAAATCGGATGCCAGTCTGGCTGAGGCTGTTCAAATACTGGCCGAAAACAAGATTCTTAGTGCACCTGTTGTCAATGTTGATGCACCTGAGGATGCAACATGGATTGACAGATACATTGGGATGGTAGAGTTTGCAGGAATAGCTGTATGGATTTTGCAACAGGTTGAAAATTGAACTGCATATGATCTTTTTTTTTTCTATAAGCCTTTTTGTTGAGGACAATTGCTAATGGTAGCTCCATAACATCTCATTCATCCGCATACGATAAAATTTAGTCTTTCTTTCTTACTTTTACTTACTTTTATAATCGTGCAGCCATGAGAGTGATGTTTAGGTTGAAAGGTGCATTAGTTTGGGCCATATTGTAATATGGTGGATATTTGCACCCGTTGTTGTCCACCCTAGTACATTGTATTTGACATAACTCGTGGCTTCTTTTCTTGTATACCTTAGTTTTGGGAGAAGCCATGGAAAAAGGTTGTCTTGTTAAAATGGCAAGGTGGATTTGGTAGAAAACTTCATGGTTTTTATCATTAAATTTAGTTATTCTGATGAAAGAGATCATTTCGGTCATTATTCATCTGAGTTTGCTATCATTTCATCCGCGAAACTGAAAATAGAATTTTCATCTTTTTACAGTCAGAACCACCTTCACCTCGAAGCCCATCATCTCCCAGTGGAACTGATTTTGCTGTAGCTGCCAATGGAATGACCTCTGCCGCTGGTCTTGGAACTTTAGGCCCTGAAGATGCTGCAATTACTTCTGGAAACTTTTTTGAGGCTCTAACTTCCTCTGAGTTTTACAAGAACACTAAGGTATTTCTTCTAGCAACTATAACAGAAAAGCTTCCTTCCATTTTGAATTCTTTCCCTTTCTTTTTTTGTGTGTAATATTCATGTTAAACTTGTGAATACACAGGTCCACGATATCTCAGGTTCATTCCGCTGGGCTCCATTCCTTGCTTTGCAGCAATCAAACTCCTTTTTGACCATGCTGTTACTGCTTTCAAAGTACAAAATGAAGAGTGTTCCTGTACTTGATATGGATGACGGAAAGATTGGTAACATCATCACACAGTCAGCTGTCATTCACATGTTAGCAGAATGCTCGGGACTTCACTGGTTTGAAAGCTGGGGAATTAAGAAACTTTCTGAGATTGGTCTTCCCACGATGTCACCTAATCAAATTATCATGGTGAGTGGCTGTTATCACTCAAAATTTTGTTCTTTGTTTATGTGGATTTGAGGCTTTTCATGTCCATTTGCCATGATTTGTATAATGCTTTATTGAATGTGTTGATTCTCAATAATGCATGTGAAGGAATACTGTTTTTGTTGGAGGTTGGTGAAATTGCACACCTTATGCACTGTAAAATGTTGTATGCTTGAGGCTTGAGAGTCCCAATGTCAACTATGTCCTATTGGCAATTCATGATTATTGACAGTAATTATCATCTATTCCTCACTTCCCACCACCACACTTTTCTTGAAAGAACTTCTGGTTACAAGCTTTTGTGTAACTTGTAATCTCTAAATACGAGTCTTTTAATGAAGATCTCTAAGGATGTGGCCCTTACGGTGCTTTCTGCAGCTTAACTACTTGTGGCCATTTTTGTTTACATGTTACAGCCAAAACCTTGTAAAAATTATATAGCCCCACCTCAACCAACCTATAGCACAAGTATTGGTTTAGTACTCGACAGTCAATATTGTTTTGAGCCTTTTGGAACCTTTAATATTAAGGATTAAGTGACCATGAAACATGCTCGCATGATCAACTCCTCTTGAGAGCAAGGTTTGTTGATTTCTTCATGTTCTTCCGGTCTACGTCTATCTCGTTGCATTTGTAACCATTTTTTTCCATAGAATTTTCCTTCATCTAAACCTATTCTTTGCAATCAAGATGTGCGATCTCTCTTTGTATTTTAGGTACATGGTGATGAACCAGTTCTTCAGGCATTTAAGTTAATGAGGAAAAGGAGAATTGGAGGCATTCCTGTCGTTGAACGTGGAGGAACAAAAGCTATTGGTAACATAAGCCTTAGAGATATACAGTTCCTTTTAACTGCACCAGAGATCTACCATGATTACAGGTTTGTGCTGCAACATGGTCATGAATCATTTTGAAGACTTCTATTTCGCATTGCATGTTTAGACCTAGATGTTCTAAATAAAGTCCTTTTGATGCATAGATCTATCACGGCGAAGAACTTCCTAATAGCAGTTAAAAAGTACTTGGAGAATCATGACAAGACATCACCTATGTTGAGCGGCATGATTACATGTACGAAAGACAAAACAGTCAAAGAGTTGATTCAGACACTTGACTCAGAGAAGATCCATCGAGTGTATATTGTGGATGATGAAGGGAATTTGGAAGGAGTGATCACACTTAGAGACATCATTTCGAGGTTAGTACACGAGCCACGCGGTTACTTTGGTGATTTTTTTGATGGTGTGTTACCTCTACCAGAGAACAGCAGGGTTTAAGAGTTAAATCAAAAGTTTATGCTCTGGCTGCTCCCTATGACTGACTTCCATTTCTTTGTGATTCTGCTTTTCTGATTCGCGGTTTGTTGGAGACTAATTGGATATGCAGATTGTAACATCGACCAGCCTTTGTACTTAAATCTTCTGGCTTGACAGGTTCGAATTTCTGTAAATTTTGGTGTATTCAGGAACTCTTATCGGAACATTCTGTGTTGCAATATAATAAGAAGAACACATCTTGTTTTCTTCTTGAAATGAATAGCTAATTCTACTCCCAAATATCTTACTGTGAAGCAAAAAAGATTGTAAAAACATTATATTTGGTATTTGTGACTGAAAGGGACATCTATTCTGAAATAACCATAACATTAAAGGTAGTAATAATAATATTATTTTTGTGCTAAAAGATTTTTGTAATCTTTTTTACGAAGAAAGTGGTAATCTGGGATAAAAGAAAGGAATTGAATCTGTTGAATGTTATTTTTGTATGAATTAATTAAATTAAATTTCTAATTTGATTTTGATAATCTCTATAATTACTTGACAAAACGCCATAGAGAAAATCCACCTATAGTTGGAGTAACCGTCTGCCTTTCATCGTACATTGTTTAGATATAGCAAGAAAAAGGAATTGAACAGAACTTCAACATGGGTCTGGGCTCTATAACACGTTCTAACCCAACAACACATTTTGGACTGGAAGATTTTAACAGGCTCCTCATTTCTTAAAAAAAAAAGGCTACTGTAAAGATGGTGGCCAACGCCATTGATAGAAAGTCATTGAGAAAAGAGGACTGGGCTCAAACCACCAACTTTGGAGGTAGAAATGGAGAGATTTGCAGTTAAGAATGAAGGCCTTTCATGGTGATTGAAACTGGATGGATGTCTTTGGAAGCTCTGGGAACAACCTCCTCAGCAATAGATTGTAAAATAAGCCACTAAGCACTCTCATGGCCTTGGCAACCATTTTCGTTAAATACAATTTGCAGGAAGGATACTATTCTTCCTTCTTGCTGCATAATAGGAGACAATTTTGCGGCCGTTCCAATGTTTATTCCAGTAATCTTCGGCTAACTGTTGCTGCAATGTCTGATTTACCAAAAACATTCCAATGAAACCAGTCCAAAGTCCATTTACCAATTGCCAGGTTCCGATTTGGACTAAAGGTGAATTACCCGATGGGTAAAACTGGTTGATATTTGCACCATCTCGTAGATGCCATCTCCATCGATATACCTTTCCCTTTATCGTTTGGTTAGCCATCAAGAATTTGCCCCTAATGGCCAACAAGCATGAATCCAATCTATCTTTGGCCTGCCAACAATCTTCATTAACCACCAATGAGAACTGGACATGGCGCCACCCTAAATACCAGTTTTTTCTTGAATGGGACCATCTATGGATGTGATAACTGATGCATCAGGGTGCAAATGGACCCTGAAATTTATTCGTGACTAGGAAAAATAACAAATGACTCGTCCAAAGAAAGTGCAATTAATAACACCAAACAGGATCTATTAAGTTCCTGCTGTAAACAAAGACATTGCACGTTTATTTGTAACATAATGTCTGAAAACATGTGTTTATTAAAGATTTCCCGTTGCTTGGAAGCAGGGTGGCCCTGTTTCATGTCCTCTTGTCAGCCTGGGGTTTTCTGCTTTTGTAGATTGTTCTTTAGCAACAGGCAACGCTCACATCAAAATGTATATTACTTCACACTAGTGTCTACTGTTTTTCTAATGATAACAATAGATTCAAATTAGTTTTTGGTACTAAACGTCAAAAAGCCAATGAAGAGCACAAAAATTATAATTTCCTTCGGATCAAAACTGTCAAGAGACTGAACATGAAACTTACCATGTAACGATCCAGTAACATCCAGTATATTTGAATTTCAAATCATAACACCTATAATTTCTTCCTTTATTTCAAGCTGCCCAATTTTAATCATTCTTTCCTAGAAACCAAAGCACACAAGCTTATTTCAAGGGAATATTTATTCCTCTAACTAAGCACGCAAAATAATTCCAGAGGGTAAACCATAAAGCCATAGATTTCCTAAATGAACATTCAGACTTCTATCAAGGAAGCTTCCACTATATGCCAATATAAGCACTAGTTATTGTGCCCTATTTATCCCACCCAACTTCCTTCCAAGCTTTAGCCTTGTTCTCCTCTTTTGTTGAGCTGTTCATTTGATGCAAGAGCACTGAGTGATTTCTTCCCCCTCAATCCGCAAGCTGATGGGCAGCGTCCCTGAAACGTGTAATACTTTCAGTGAGAGAGAAAAGAAGGCCAGAAGGGATCGTAAGGGCAGTGCAGAAGTTACCCATTTACACACCACAGACCAAGATAAGCAACTGCTATACCCTACATATAGGAAAGTTTCTGCATTCCTATACATATCCTAAGTGCCTGCAATTGAGTTGACAATTGTATTTACTCTATTAGGGGGCCCTTTAACACCATAAAAAATTGAAAGAGACTCTCAAGCAGTCATGCCTTCCCTTCTCCTGCTTCAGTCCCATTCAAAATACAGGGTGTAGTAAATGACTGATAATGGATTCCAACCAATAATATCCTCTTTTCAACTTCACAAAAGGCCTTCCTTCCAACAATTCTGTGATCATTTATATCATGGCGCTCTAATCCAATTTTCAATTTTTTGAATACCTATGGCAATTATCCCTGCTGTGATTCTAAAAACAGTTTTGGATTGTCCACCATTTCCCTTTTTGATCAGAAGGTCTCCATTAAAACTAATTAAACTGTACCTTCATCTCAGTATTTTCATGAAGAGAGATGTAGAAAACATCTGCAAGACGGGACCAAAACATTTCACGACACTAATCAACATATCGGTCCTACTCTTAAACCACCTATGCATATAGCAGGGATTAAAATTTATTTAAATTTCAGAAACTGAAATGCTTGTGCTTTTACTAGCACCACAAATCCTAAAATAAACTTGAAAACTGAACCTTCCGTTCTGTGGGTCTTTGTCATCCTCGTAAATTCTCATATGGCATTCACTCACAACTATGAACAGTGAAACTTGCTTCATGGCATTGAACATTTCAACGAATTTCTTCCAAGTACTCTAGGAACCAAAAATAGGGATCTTCTGTGATGTTGAATCAAACAATATCACCTTCTCATAATAATAAACCGCACAGGTTAAAAGAACCATGGGAACAAATGGTAAGCCCAACCTCAAAGGTCACCTCAAATTAACAAGAGGTTATCCCAAACCTGTTTTCAACAGTGGATTTGTTATAATCTCTAGCCCGTTTAACTTGTACTGGAACCTCGGAAATGGTCGGCCAATCCATTTAATGGTACTACAGAACTAAAGAAAAAGCATGTCTCGAGTGTGACTTCCTTCCCTACTAGTGTCAAGTGTCAACAGTAGGGAAAAAATGAGCCAAAAATAATGGATTCCAATTCAAATTCCAGTCATTGCATTTATAATCAACTATGATATCTATTCGAGGACAAAACTCAATTTTTGCAGGAAGGGGTGACTCTGATCCCTTCCTGTGCCCAAAAGAACTGAAGAAGGCACAAAGCTTATACATGCGAGTTTCCAAGATTTTGAAACAACTCAACTAATAGTCTCCAGTTACTTTCTGAGAAAGAAGATTAAAACTAAGTACAGCCAATTAAATTTTATAGCAAAAACTTTGCTACTAAAAGAAAATTCATCAGAATTTCATTCTGCAATCTATAAATCTTCACTGCATTGTACATTAATTTAGTTTAGCATTCCCCAAGCTATCAGTTCTTGTAACTCCCTCATCGTTCTTCACATAGTTTCACAGAAATTAATTGGGGTAATGTTGTGTTCATCCTATAGATCTAATCATTCCTTTAAAACACCCAATCTCCTAACTGTCCTATACATCAAATTAACAGCGGAACTCATCAAAACATTTTTATCTGCTCAATTGTTTCTTAAATAACATTTGACAAATGCTTCTTGTAGAAAACCATTATTTTATATACTGCATCGCTTAACTTAGTATGATCCTAACCTCTATTCTTTCCCTGTTTCTATTGAAGATGTGGCTCTCCATAACAGATATAGAAATAAACAGTGAAAGAGATCTAGTCATTCCTTCAAGACAGTCAAATCAGATATTGCTTCATGTTAAACAAAATAAGTTTCGTGTAAAATTTTACCAGTAGGTATTGCTAAAGAGACATGGCACAATTGGGAATCAAAATATATTTACTGGTTTCAATCCTACAATGTACAAACATTGGTATTAGTTGGTATATTACAGACAAGCTATTGTTCCAGCAGACACAGAAATTCAGGCATTTAAGAATGTTAAGTTCATGTGAACAATAGATATGCCAGGCTATTAACTCGTCTATGAGGCGTGGCAAATAGGAAAGGTGGCTACACTGCCAAATCTAGTGGTGATTCGTGAAATAAAATACGTGAACCAAGACAAATCCACACATGGACAGTTATAGAATATAAACATGTACAAGTTACAGTATATAAAGGGGTGACAGTTAACTTTCACAAAACCTGTGTTTATAACATCAAACAGACAAAATAATAAACATGTCATCAGATACATATATAGGTTAACTCTTGCTCCAACTAGTCCTTGATGAGTGCAAGGGCCATACCTGTAACACGAGTCCTGTATCCTATGAACTCTTTCTTCTCATATGGTGAAGAACAAGAGTTGATCCTTCAAACAAATCCAATAGATAATTTTCTAAATCCTCAGGTGTATACTTAATGTATTTTCCAGTGTACCTTCCACTCTCTAGCTGACTCCCAAACCTCCCCATGAAGGAGCGGTAAGCTGGAATTACTTTCTCTGATATAGAAATTCGAAGCTCTTCACGAAGTTGAGGATCTGGGACCTTCCAAGCTGTCTGAATCCTATATATTTCTTCAAAACATGCATTGAAGCTCTTAAATCTTTCCTTCAAGGCTACCTTGGACGCATTATTAGAGCTACCACCAATTCCTTCATCCTTCAGACAATACAGAGCTTTGGTCCAACAGGCTCTAAGATAACTAGTAGCATACTGGCGTATCTGGCCACGCCGCTTACGAACCCAATTGTCTCCCAAAAGCTTTCCTAGTTCGGAATCCTTCACCTTTTGCACTATATACAGAATATTATTCATCAAAAATATAGAATGCAATGCACCATCCTCATACAGTTTTGATTTCTCCTCAAGATTGGATTCGAGGGAGGATATCAACAACAACAACCGCTTAGCAAATGGAGTCGTGGTCTCCAGCTCACTGTCATCACTCTGCAATCCATCTGCTTCATCCTCATCACTCTCCAATAATGAATTCAAAGTCTCCCTATAATCCACAAGCAGTTTCACATAATTCATCACATAACGTGTAAGAGGATGAATCTCCCCAGTCTGCATAGGTTTCTTGGAAGCCTCATTCTTCACAGCATTCTCAAACTCCACAAAAGTCCCTTTCGCCGCATCCCCTAATCCAGCTAGCACGCCCTTCGCCTCACTACTTACAAATTCATCAGTAAGCATCATCTCAAAATGCATCAGTGCATCTGCCAACGCATCATACATATCCAGGATCCTAAACAGTTTCTCAGATGATCTTTTCCCAATGGCCACAGCTTCCCCAAAATTCAACAGCTGCATTATACACCCTTTAGCTGTTTCATTAAAACAAATCTCTTTGATCGAATCGGACCCATTAAAAATCTGATCACAAAGCCTCTTTTCTCCGGTCAAAAGAACCCTAACAGTAATCTTAACCGCCTGAATCCATTTCTTCATCTTTTCATCCAAAGTTTTCCACTCAATCTTCTGAACTTCCTCAATACTCAACTTCTCAACTCCAAGAATCACCAAACACTCATCCAAAGCATCACGCCTAACATTACTATAAGCTTGAACACACTCTTTTTCGTATCCAGACCGGATCATCCGGTCTGCAATCTCTTTCAACTCCAAAACAGCATCAGCATTTATCAAATCCACACATAAATCATCTCCCAAACTAGCTCCTCGCTCGTGAAAGCACCCTCTTTCACTGTCAGCCTCTTCAAAACTCTCGAATTCCTCGTCAATTTCCCCTTCATTCGCTGCAAAAGAAAGGGACGACCTCCGGATCGAACCGTAAAGCCTCTCCGCATCAAGCGGGACAGTGTTCCTAATCAAAATAAGCCGAAACTCATCTTCCAGCCTTGACATAGCCATCTGGATAGCGCTCTCAGCCCGGCCCATGATTTCGCTATTGGACCGAATCGACATATCCACAACCAATTGAAGGATTTCGTCAACCGCCGAGAGATACTCGGCAGCTTCATCGGGAGATTCTTCCCACGGAAGAGAGTGGCGGGAAGCGTCGGGGTTGGATGAGGAAGAGTCCCACCGGAGGATCACTTTCTCGGCGGTGTCAAAGCGGTCGGCGGTACTGTCAGAGTCGTTGTTGATTAAATCGGTGATGTTGGACAAACGGTTATCGAAGCTCGAGAAAATCAAGAGCATGTCTTCACGAACCTCTTTTGGAGTGTTGAGACTCTTCACGATCTGCTGAGCCGTCGCCAGGACCCGGTCCTCGCCGCCCGCGGCAAGGTCCGTCGTAGTCGTGGTCATGGTCAATGGTTTTGGTCCTCTAATCAGCCCGGTTCGCCGGTCTCTCTTTTTAAGCCGAAGTAAGAATTTGGGGATTGGGAGCGGTTCAGAGTTGAAATAAAGTAAAAACGGCCATTTTTTGGGTTTAGTTTCACTAGAATCACAAAAATATCCGGTTTTTTTTATGTGGGTCGGTTTTCTTTGTCTGGACGGAAGAAAATTTTGAAGGAAATTGGTTTAGGCCGGCTGGTTTAAGGGAAGGAAATGGAAAACTGGGGAGTTCGCAAGAAAGAAGAGCAAGGAAAGGGCTTGGGAAATGGGGGAGTTTCCACAGTTAGCTTCTCTACGGTTTTAGTTTTTTATTACCTTTTGCTTTTGGCCCACTTGGGGCCCTCTTTTCCCCGTCTGGCCCAATGCAATTATATAATGTACATTTTTTTAAGGGCAGCTGGATATTAGGTTTCCCTGGTATTTTTTTATTGATTTAAATAAATTAATTTTGTTTGATTTAATGAATTTATAAAAATTATTTTTTTATAATGCTTAAAAATTTTCGATTGCATCACTTCGATTATTATAAGCGAATTAATTTTGGAACATCTAAAGTGTAGGATTAATTTATCATTTATCTTTTAATGTGTGTAATTTTATCACTCAACATTTAAATTGATTAAAAAAAAAAATTCAAAGTTAACTACAAAATATTATTTTATATAATTTTAATTTGTTCATATTTCAATCAACAAAACCGCCTACCTGCTGCTTAGGATGTTGCCATTTGAATAATACTAAAGTCGTATGTTCCACTCTTCTAATTGTCAACTCAAAACCCACCAATCAAGCTTAACACCTCTTTGTTTTTTATTTTTAATTTCTAATTTAGAACTGTAACTTTGTTTATAAAATTTACTTGAATGTTACGTTTCAAGTTTAGACAATATCTTAAGTGCCACCAACATCATGCTAATCAAGCTAAGCGCTCATTGATAAATATTTTTTATTTAAAATTATCAAAATATAATCTTTACTCTTTAAAATTAAAAATTTATTATTTTATTTTAAGGTTATTCATTCGATCAGTTTAATTAATTTTAAATCATATATTATAAAATTGAATTAACAAAATTATATTATATTATTTTAATTAATCAAACTAAATTTCTTAATTTAAAAAATTAATCGACTATAATTAATTCGATCGATTCTATTAATTTTTTCAATTAACCAAATAATAGAATATATTAAGATAAATTATATTTTAAAATTTTATTTTCTCATATATGAAATAAATTAAATAAAATTATCTAATAAAAATATTCAAATATCAAAATATTAAGTTAAAAACTCTAATAACACGTAATAAAATGAATTATTTCATATATTTTTTGTTTTATATATAAGTTTTATCATATTTCGATTAAAATTTTAATTAATTCAATTTTTGAACAAAATTAATTGAAAATTAATTTTTAAAAAAATTATTTTTGATAATCGAATTAATTAAAAACAGAAAATTTTTCAAAATTATTTTCGATAACCAATTAAAATTAATTTTATAACTGATTGATTAATTAAATTAAATTAAATCAATTCAATCAATTAATTCGATTAAAATCAAATTATAAATTATCTTATTTTATTTAATATATCATGATAAAACCAAGCAAAAGCAACATGCTATAAAATTGAAAACAGCCCCCCTTTGGCCTTGGCCATGGCCTTGCCCTTGCCCTTGCCCTTGGACCACAGCAATTAGCTGCTTGCTATTGATCCTTCAAAGCTCAATCCACATTCAAGAAATGGGAAAAGGACCCGACAAAAAGGTTGAATCGAACCTCTCTGTCAAAATCATTTGCCTCACCGAACACGGTAGATCAAATTTCCATTCACACCAACTAAATCCAAAAGCCGATGGCTAGAGAGCAGAGTCTGTTATCTCCAAGACCGACTTTGTAGTTTATTATTTTCTTTTCTTTCTTCAAAATCATGGGAAAACAAATCCTTTTGATGTTTACGGATCAACTGACAGTTTAAGTAAACGTCAACCCTTTATTAATTGTAATAATCAATGTGAAAGTGTTGATGATTAAAATTGATTTTGAACATTATTGGTTGTAATTAAACTAATCTGTCATTTATGATCCATAAAAGTTTTGATCATTAACCAGAAGAAAATGAGTTTCAAGTGAAGCCTACTGCAATCATGGAGGATTATGAAACTGTTAGGGGTATTTTTTATCCAAAAGATAAATTGGTAACTTCTAGAGATTTTTAATAGATAATCAAAAATATATATTTTTTTATTTTTTGGTTGATTTTACATGTACAATACTATATTAACTTAATTACGTTATTATTCTATTACATAGAACTTTTTTCTTGCTTCATTATTTTTTTTTTATCTCTTTAATCGTAATCTTTGACTTGAGCGTTGAAATACAAACGCATGTTTCCCCTAACCACTCTCTTTCTCTCTTGTAATTTCAGGATCTCACCTTCGGCTCCAAGCTCGACATCAACAAAAACCATAAAAGTTAATTGTACAGTCTCACTCTTGCTTCACCATGAAAACCATGTAAGGTTTTGACTCAATGATAAATTCATGTTTTTTCATGTTCAGGGAACAGATTCAAATCCTACTTCCTCAAACAAAAAGCAGGAGCTTCATCATGTTATAGGAAACACCACAGTTTACAGATAAACATGGTTTGCAAAGATATGACACAAGGAATCTTAACTGCAATATATAATAGCTAAATCTTTGATTCTTAAAGCAGGAATTTACCTTGAAAATGGTTCTTTGTCACATGGAGCCAACTGAAAATGATTTCCATTTGGAATCAAGATTCTAACTACAAATCATATAGCAGCTAACCCATATAAAACTTCTAAAGTGCATTAACAATCACTTTAGCTTTGAATGTATATGTCAATTTTGACAAACTCAGGATCACTCATATGCTATCAAGGAAAAACAGAACGATTGAAGAGTCAAATTAGCCACACCATGGGTAACACCAAAAGTCAATAGCATATTACATAAAATACTGTGAAAACCATTGATAGGACAGAAATTATCAGTGGGATTCAGCACAACACATTATCTGATGAGCCAAAATGTAGGGAAAGCAAAACCCATTAAACAATCAGAGGAAGTAACACATAACAATGACAAATTCACAACTAAATTCCAAAATCATGATGCCAACAAGATCAAGAGATGATTGAGTGTAATAGTTACCACCAAATATAAGTACTTGTGTGTATACAGAGAAAGAGAGTGAGGTACTGGTTAAATACTGGGTCGAGGTGGGAACCGTTTTGGAGCTGAAGCATTTGGCAGATGAGGCGACGGTCATCTGCGAGTTCGAAACAAGTTTCTTCAGAGGGATTGAAGAATGTATTCCACCGATTCTTTGAAGTTTGCTCTTACTAGTCCCACAGCGTCTTGACAAACAGCTTCCCTGAACCAGATTTTGGAATTGGATTTTCTTGGCCCTAACAACTCAGAAAACTGTAACCCAAGCCGCTAATTGGATGGAAGTTACCCGATAGAGGCAAAGTAATACGACAGAGCCCTTAAGCTCAGCTTCACCTTCATTCCCTCGTGCGTCCTTGTATCTAATTGTGTATATTTTATGTTAAATTCGTATAAATCACGAAAGTTATTACACAATTCGTGTCAACTATTAAATATAAAATACATTTTTATATTTTTCTAAACTTGTATACAAATTTTATTAAAAGTTTAAAATATCTCTTTCATATTTTTTATATCATTTTGATATTTAATGATCATATGTATCTAAAATTATTTTATCTATCCATTTCATAATTTTAACCTTATAAATATTTTCTATAGGATTGAAATGAAATGAGAAAATGTAAAAAAAAAAAATGTATTACTGAGATTTTTGGCATCAAATCTATGGTAATAGCTCTGTTCTGATATAAAACCACCGGTTTGCTTGCTTATACCTCATCAGATTGCACTACGAGAAAATGAAATGAAGAATCGCTCAAAAGCTTGAACTAAAGAAGATGGTAGAATTTGTTGCACAAAAGAATTGATTTTTTATTGATGAACTTCAAAATTACAACAACGCCATGTGAACTTACGTTATTAGTAGTAAAAAGGAAAAATCGCTCATTGAGAAATAATCAGATCAACTGCCATACAATGTGACAAAATTCTAGAGCCTTAAATTAATTATAAAGTTTTAACATCACCAGTAATCACCGCAAGAACAGCTCCCATCTTTGAAATGGTGGAATCTACTACAATCTCTCACAACAATTTCCCTTCGAGTAACCAGAGCTATCAACTTAACAGCATGGTGGCAATCATTACAAATTCGGTGGCCCTGCACGATCTGCAAAGGTGATCCATTCCTAGTATTTATCAGACCAAAAGCTACTGCTAATTTCTCGCTATGGTACAACAATACATTCTGCTCCTGTTCATCCACATCAGGAAGCAAAATTTTCTCCTTGGGAACGTAACCATGCTTTGAAATTTCGAGCATCAAGCTATCAACTTTCTGGTAAATCTCATTTGTCTGGACATGGCATTTGTCTCCGGAAACGAAAACATGAGACTGTTTATTAACTTCAATCCAACAGCAGACTGGACGCATTCGCAAGCCCTTCCTTCTCAAAGTCTGCAAAACAGCAGCTGCTTCCTTTAACTTGCCAGAATCATTGTAGATATTCAAAAGCACAACATAATTCCCAAGCTTCTCAGGTTCCATCCCATACAACTTCTCCGCTACAAATTTTCCAAGCTCGAAATTTCCATTAACACGACTAGCTGTCAGCAAAGCAGCCCACATGTTTGCCGTAGGCTTGAAGGGAGCACTTCTTATCAATGCAAAGGCTTCATCTAGAAGCCCCTCTTGACCTAATAATTCAATCATACAAGCATAATGCATTGCACGGGGCTTGATCTTGTGATCTCTACTCATAGACAGAAAAATTTCCCAACCACGTTCAAATAATCTTGAATGGCTACATGCAGATAACACAGCAAGAAAAGTGACATGGTTAGGTCTCATTCTTTCTTGAAGCATTTGCTCAAACAACTCCACAGCTTTAGCTCCCTGACCATGATTACCGTATCCAGCAATTAAAGCATTCCAAGATATGGTACTCTTGCGAGGCATCCTGTCAAAAACACATTGAGCATCTTCTATTCTCCCCCATTTGCTATAGAAATCCACGAGAGTTGTGTTAGCCACTATATCCAACCCAAAACCATAACGAATCAGACCTGCATGAGCTTGCTTAGCACGTTCAGTTGAAGCTAACCTCGAACAAATTCTTATAATTATCGAAAACGTGAAATGGTCCATTTTAACACCAGAATCACGCATCTCATAAAACATACTCAGTGCGTCCTCACTGTGACCATGAAGAGCATAACCTGCTATAATGGAATTCCATCCCACAGTAGTCTTCTCTGGCATGTCATCAAAAACCCATTGAGCATCCTCAATGCTGCCACACTTACTATACATGTCAATCAGTGCACAAGTCACAAAGATATCTTCATTGACACCCATCTTCACTGAACATGAATGCAGCTGCCTTCCTACTAAAATGAGTTCCAACCCTGCAGATGCCCGGATCATTGTAGCAAAAGTTCGAGATCCACAATCAGAGAACTCCTCCCACCTAAGTAGAAACAACCTAAACGCCTCCAAGTAATCCCCAAAATCTACCAGGCCGCCAATGATGGTATTCCATGAAACCAAATTCCTCTCAGGCATTTCATCAAATAAGTAACGCGCATCGATCATCATCCCGCATCTTACATGCATTAGCAGCACCCTGTTACTCATATACTGATCTGGCTCGAAACCATTGTTTAGCATGTGATTAAACACTCTCTTCACAGCTCTAACAGATCTCAACCCAATACACGCGCTCACCAGTGCGTCATATGTGCTTAAACCCACATCAAAACCACCTTCAAGTTCCAAAATCTCAAACAATTCAAGCGCTTCTCTATACCTATTACACAAAACCAACTTCTCTATATTACTACAAAACCCAACGCTGGGTCTTTTAACCTGGGTCTCTTCTATTTCTTTCAATACAGGATTAGTACTCCTAAAAGGTTTTAGCTTGGGCCGCCGCGGTTGCAGCCCTTGCTCTAGTGAAAAACATTTGATTTTATCAAATGTATTACTCCATTTTACCCTATTGAATCGAAAAGAATAACCAGAAAACAACGGTTTTCTTCTGAAAACCCTATGGCTTGATAAAGGAAAGCTACAACTAATCTGCAACTGATCTAACGAAATGCATTGGTAACGAGCAAGTGGGATTTCCATGATCGAAAATGAAAGATAAAGCAGCGGATTCTGACAAGAGATGAGAAATAGTACCTTGAAAGGGCAAAACGTTGACGTTGGAGATGGGATTTTTTTTCAGGTTGAGGGGAAGAGATGTGCTTTGGTTTAGTAGGATTCATGTTGTTAATAAGAAAGAAATAAAATGTGGGTTTTGAGATACTTTCAGCATCGAGAGATCCGCCCTGGGGTTTCTGTTAAAAGAGCTGTTGGCGGTGGTTCCAACTACCTTCGCCAGATATTTGGGAGAAAAATCGAATCCCAAAATGACGTCGCTTTTATTTTTAATTGAAAAAAGAAAACTAGAAATAAATATACCAAATTAATTACAAATAATGGTCAAATTTCATCTATTGCTCTTAACGATTTATTTTAATTTCATGTTAATCCTTAATCTTTGAATTGTTTTTTTATTTTTTTTGAATCTCTGGCTTTTTAAAATAATTTGATTTGAATTCTTTTATCATATTTTTTCATTAACAATAAAAAAAAAAAAAGCTTACAAATGAAACAGGGTGTGTGCTATGTAAACAGGAGGATGAGTCTAGGAGTTATATTTTCTTTAGTTGTAATTACTTTAAAGCTGTGTGGAAATAGGTTTTACAGCTCTGCAGCTTACACAGAGAGGTATATGGTTGGAAAGAGGAATTCTATTGGGCTGTAAATGAGGCGAGAGGGAAGGCATTAATATCTATCATATTGAGATTGGCATGAGGTGTATACATTTATCTGATTTGGAGCAAAAAAGAACAAGAGGCAGTTTACTACTGTAGAAAGTAATGAAGGGCAAATCTTTATAATGATAAAAGAAATGATACAATTGAGATTGATGGGGCTGAAAAATATTACTTTGGATAGTGTAAATAAAGATTTATGCAAAAAATATGATTTAAGAAAGAATATATTTGTATAAAAGTCAGAGTGACAAATGAAATTATATGAGTTATATATTAGCAGCAGTGAATAATTATTTTTAGGTAATAAAATTATAAATTATTCGAAAAAAAAAGCTAAAATATTTTTAAAAGTCATTAAATTATTCTGTTTTTAATAAATTATTTTTTATTATATTCAAAAAAATTTTATTTTAAACAAAAAATTAATTTATGTTAAAAGTTTATTTAAATATAAATATAAATTTTATTTTGATATAAAAGTATAAAAATTTATTTAAATAAAATAATAAAATGTAAAAATTATTTTATTATTTTAACTTAAAAAACGTTAACATAATATGCCAAAAAAAAGTCCATATGAAAAATAATATCAACATAAGTTACAACATGAATGAAGAGTCAAAATGGAAGTATTTTAAAAGTTTAGAAAACCGAATGAAATAATTCAAAGATTTGAGACTAAGTGCAATTAAATAAAAATTAGGGACAATTAATCAAACTTTCCCAATCAATAGTAATTCTAATGCTTTTCGGCCAAATGTAAAATACCAATAATGCGATGTCGTTTAAGGAACCGCCTTACTAGGCCAAACAATTTTAAACCTTGTGAAGCAGGGGAGCGTATGACAAAAGGTTTAGCCGTTAAATTGAGTGAGAAGGTGCACACGAGAAGCTATGGCTCCGCACGATCTCCGCCGTCCGTTTAAGAGAGCGGCGATAACCGATCAGCAGAAGCGTAGGGAGCTCTCGCTGCTCCGTCAAGCACAGAATCGCCGTGAAGCTCAACAGCAAGCTCGCTGCTTGGCCTCATCTATTCTCTCGCTTCAGTCTCCCGTACCTGAATCTGAACCCGAACAATCCGACATCGAACTCGAAAACGCTTCCGAAACAGAGCAAGAATCTGGAGCTTTGTCAAAGGACCTCGATGTTCGTCGCGCTTCGAAGCTCCGAGGACCAGAAGCACGAAATTGGTTCGCGAGACAGCTTATGCTTCCTGAGTGGATGATCGACGTCCCTGATCGCTTGAGCCAAGACTGGTAATTATTCTCTGCCACTCTCTTCTTTTTATTCCATTTTCTTTTTACCTATTTTGGTTGTCCTGGTTAGGGATTTGAAATTGTGCGTTTCGAAACGTTTTAATTTGCTTCTGAAGTAGGTTTTTTAAATATTAAAAATTGTTTTCTTTTTGTAGGTATGTATTTGCAAGGCCAGCTGGGAAACGATGCTTCGTCGTTTCATCGAACGGGACGACAGTGAGCAGGCAACGAAATGGCTCCATTTTGCATCATTTCCCTTCGGCTTTACCGGCCGGAGCCAAGACCAGAGACGGCTCGGGCTCGGCTCAATCGTATTGTATCCTGGATTGCATTTTCCACGAGGTCCGAAAAAGAAAATGATAAAATTGTATTAATGTTGTCATATTGGTTGGTCTTGATTTGTTGTTGTTTGATTTTTGTTGCAGTTGGATCAGACATACTATGTGATTGATATAGTTTGTTGGAACGGATACTCTCTCTATGATTGCACTGCTGAGTTTAGGTTCTATTGGTTGAACTCGAAGCTCGAAGAAAGTGGTGCCTGCAATCCTCCTTCCCATTATCATAAATTTAGATTCACTGCTGTTCCTGTGTATAATTGTGATCAGAGTGGTCTATATGCAGCATACACGGGAGTTATGCCTTATGTTAAGGATGGACTACTGTTTTATAACAAGTGAGTTATTTTACTAAAAAAATATGTGCTCAGTTTTTTATTATTTCTTGTGTTGCATTATTGGAATTGGATTTACTCTGTAATGGGGGCGATGTATTTTGCTTTTTCTTGATGTTTGTTTTGCATTGAGATAGACTTGCTAATTCTGTGACAGAGACACAAACATCTGCATTTTTTAGATAGCAGGTTCAAATCCAGAGGGACTCATTTATATGGGATGCTTGATATGTGCCGAGCCACTTATCAGTACCCATAAACGGTAAGACCTATATCAGTCTACTTATAGCAGGCTTGAAGCCTGTTCTAAGGCTAGTAGGTGCTGTCCTTGATTCTAGGCCCATACACATGAGGAAAAATACTGTAATATAGTTTGTAAAATTTTGGTTGATTGATTTCATTGAAATATCTTTATGATGTCTTGGTAGAAACCTGAAGTTCTTTTTAAGGCATTTCCATCTCTTAGCAATATCTTTCATCTGTGTTGCCTTTTCCTAGCATGCCCAAGCCCCAAGTCATGGATCATTAAGTTTTTTGCATGGTTGATTTGCATAACTTTCATTTTAACTCATGATTTAAGGAATAGGTATAATTCTGCAGTCTGAAGTATGGTGTAAATTGAATAGCTAGTTGTTTCTCAAGATTCAGAAACTAGGCTCCATGGGCAATCCCGAGCTGGGGTTCCTTGCATTTTTGGACTGCTGGTTAAATAATCAGAAGAGGGTCTATGAGTATAGAGTGATGTCTTTGCATACTGTAATGAATTTTCCAGTAAAAAGAGTTATTAAAGTGGACTTTCTTCCTTGGTAAGAAGTATGCTGTTCCTAATTTTGTAGGTAAGGTTGCTTAAATTACCAAATTATGTCTTAGGAAATAATAGTTGAAACCTTTTCTTTGATCATCCACTGTGGAAGATCGATATCCATTTCTTTTTTTTTTTTTCCTGCTCTTCAATTGTATTATTATTAACCTCTCAACATCACTTTGTATCATATTTTGTCTCTCTACTGTTTGTGTATTTCAGCTGTGATCTTTGTTTTATTTCTTTCACAGGCATGCACACTATCAAACCGGCAACACACCTTTGGTATTAGTCTGGAAGGATGAGGACTGTAGTCAATATGTTATTGACACAGATAGTAAAGGAGAGATTCCTAGCCAACAACAGGTTGCTTGAAGTTTTATTCAGCTATGCTCCCTATATCATTGGCCCTTCCTAATTAGCCCTTCAAACAAGAAATTAGGACATGTTTCTTTCCCTTTTGTTTTTTTCTAAAGAGCAATGATTTATTCAATTAATTTGCCCAAGTTATTGTCCTTAAGTAGAAATTTTGATATGGATAAGTTGCTCTTATGGTCATCAATAAATGCATGCTGAAAAACATAGAAAATGCATGTGCTGTCTGATGGCTTGGTTTAGACAATTACACTTTCTAGAATGACTTTTAGCTATGAAATTTAAAAACAAAATTTACTAAAGCTACAAAATAATATTTACATGGCCTTTTTGAACTAAACTGGAGAAGGTGCCTTAAAGAGAAAAATATAATTCTGGAGTTTAAAACAAATGTTAAAAAACAAGTATCTCGTTTTTTGTAAATCTATAACATATTGAGTAATGCCATAATCAGTTGTTCTTCTTTCTTCTGTTATTAGGTAGTTTTGGAGCTGCAAGATGACAGAAAACTAGTAACATCAGATGAACCCCCCGTGCTTTTTGGCTGCTTAGATGGGGATATCATAGAAAAGGTACGGTAGTAAATGCCTGTACTGAGCTAGATGCATAATGCGATAATTGTTGCTTTCAACTAATTACAATGATTTCTTCATCTATAATTTGACATCAGTATTTTATTCTTCAAAGTTTTTGATATATCAATGCAGTGAGCTGTTGCTTCAATTTGGTAAGTGTGCCCCCTTTGGGCTTTTGAGCTAGTCAAAGTAAGGTAGCTCCCTCCATCCCATAAATCCCTTCTCCCTCCCCAAGATTTGAATCCTTCACTCCTGAGTTCAAAGCCCCTTGTTTTATTAGTTGGGGCAGCCTCTTGGGAATGATGGTAGTTATAGGTGTTGTCTATTAAATCAAAGCATAAGGTAATCTAGAACCCAAGTTTTCATCTTGCTTATGTCCCAGTACACTGGTATGTTTCCTACAAAATTAAGACTCTGTCTGCTGATTGACCTGAAAGGCAGGCTCATGAGCCAGTTTCCTTGAAATATAGCTAGAAAGGAAAACAAATTGTAAAATATTAAGCCCACTTTGCCACCAACCTTGCTTTTAACATTCCACTTTGCTAATATTTAAGTTTTCTCTTCTCTTTTATTTGATCTCCTCACTTTTCCAAATACACAGTCAGGGCTGCATTCAGGGAACCTTTTACGATTCGCTATTAGTGATGGAGGATTGAGTTTTGTGGATGGGAAGCTTGAGAAGGCTGATCTGAATTATCTTGGCAAGGCAAATCGAGCACGTGCTTTCGCAGATACTTACTCAAAGGTTGGTAGAAAAGCATGCGGGATACACTTTTTAGTTGATATTTGCTTTTAGCTTTAATTGATCTTATATAACGTTATCCTAGTAAAGTAAAATCCAAACTCCCCAAATCATGTGATGGAAATGCCAAAATGTTGTATTTTGCTAGTGTTGAGACATTTTCTGTATTATATGTCTTTGTGACAAAGGTTATGGATTAAGTCTCATCAGAATACTCTTTTAAATGCCTTGTGGTGCTGTGAAAAAGTTCACAAAATTGGCCTCAAAATAGGTTATTATGATTGTTTGCATTTTCTATGCCATATTGAGAGTCTCTTTCTGATTGGGGAATGAGGGATTTGAACTAAAATCTTTGTATGGGGGTGATAGGTGCACCTACCATTGCAAATGCTTCCTTGTTCAGAAACTATTGATTCCCAACTAAATTACTTGGTTCTCTATCCTGAAATGGACTTAAATAAAGCAAAATTGAATAAGGTTGGCCTGTTTCTTTTCTTATTTGCTTTTTTTTGCTGCCTCGATTTAAAGATCTGTTGTTTCTCAATAATAGCAAATCAATTATCCTTGTGCATGGTTGTCTTTCTGTGTTTTAAGTTCATCATTTTCACTTGAAGAAATGCTCATTCTGTTATCAGCCCAGCAAATAATTGCACGTGATAATCTTCTGATGCTTTTTTGAATTATAAAATATTGTGGAATTTACTCTGCAGGTTTTATTCCAGTTTATGGTTCGGCATTCTCCTCTGAAGATAGATGATTTACTAGCATCTATTAACTCTCCAGATGATCAAGAAAACAATTCTAGTGACATAGAGATGGTTGGTTGACTATATCTATATAGAGTTATTGGAGGTTTGATATTTGTCCGTCTACGATGCTAAGTTTATGGCCGTACAGCTCTTAAATGCTCCCTCCCGGGTTACTACTGTATGACTTGCATGCATGAGATGGAAGGACGTCTTGGGAATCAATTTGATGTGTGATTTAACTTGGCTGAGCCTATGAGGCAAAGGGGGGTCGATGAGGGTATCATATCATACATGAGTAACTGTAAGTCTTGTCCAGCATTACCAGAGGCTTTTATGCGTGACTGCCGCTTCTTTCCAATTTTTACGTGTAGCATCGTCCCTGTTGCTAATATTATTGTGTAAATGATGAATCGTGCTTCATTTAGATGGTTGGTGCGAAAAAATTTTTATCGGGCCATCATGTTTTGAATATCATTAATTTTATTGTAGAGAACATATTACAGATTTGCAGGACATGCTCATCAACTAAAGGATTCAACTGACAAATTGCACCTAATTATTCTCCTAACAAATGACATATGATATTGTTCAAGATGCCAATGTCGTTGCTTCACAGCCATCATGCACACAAGCCAGGACATCTCGGTAGTCCCTTGAAATGGTGAAGGAATCATAAACCTTCCCGTCGCGGCTCTTCTTATACTCAAACAGCAGGTATGAGTGGTTAAAAGCTGTCAGCTTGACGAATCCCCAGTCATAATCTCTGTAAAGACTCCAACTTGGGATGACTTCACTGAAAGTTGAGAGGTGGCTCCCTCCCCCACCAACGACAACGTGGATCGTTCCATTGACAACGCCCGAGTAATGATTTCTTTCATTGTTCACGCACTGATTCTGCCCAAAGCATAAACCAGAAAAGTAAGAGGGATTATACCCCAACTGTTATGAATAAGAAGATGCTAAATTGTTGACTATCAGTTTATCACATTGATCAAGCAGTCAATTGGCATTGCTTATGATTATGTGTGTGCCTTTAAAGGCTTTCAGAATAAGCAAGGTCTTGTAACAAATCTCATGAATATGTGTGCGAGCGCGAGAATAAGCTCAGTTGTCGTTGCAGTATCAATGGTTCAGATCCCAGGTGGTTGGGGGGGGGGGGGGGGGAGGGTCCGTTTTTGCACAAGTTATGACAACTCATACGAGAATGCCACGATTTATTGTGAAACTGTGGATTTGAGGATCTTCCAGAATTTGCAATCCATACCTGGTAGATTGGGCATGTTCTTTCATAGTTATGGACATGGCCATAGAAGGCAATATCAACCTTGTACTTCTGCCAAAGCTTCTGCAAACTTTCCCTTCCCATAGGCTCTTCAAATGAGCCCTCCTGGCCATACCAGTAATCAGAGGAATACCCAAGGACACGATGAGCTGCAAAGATCAACCAAGGCTGCCTATGTCTATCTACCGATGCAAGGCATTGCTCAATAAACCTATACTGTTCTGAACCTTCTCTCCAGTCATGTTCACTGTCAGCTATGCAGAAGTGAAACAGGCCATAATCCGTTGAGTACCTGCATTTTTCAGAAGATAATTGTTAAACATTCAAGTCGAAAACCAGTTTAAAGTTGAAGACAGTTCTTTTTAGGCAAAACGGAGTTATAGACGTAGAATATAGCCCAAAAAGATTCATTAGACTGCATCTAACAGAAGTTGGACTCTAATTGTTTCTTAATCAGACTAGCTATGAGGCAAAGGATGTGTTTGGTACATAAGCTTACTGTCAGAATAGGATAAAACTATATTGATAGTAAATTGTTTCCAGTATATCTTATTTTTCATGTAATCCTTATTGCATTAATGTAGTGTCACATGAGCCTACCTTTCTCCATGAGATAAGATAATACAATCCTACATGGACAGGATAATGTAAGATGGGATATGAACAGTTTAGTCAATTTTAATATTACATTATAACTACACTTGCTAAGTTGTTGCCAATACTGAATATTTCATCAGCTAAGATTCTTAAATCTTACCCATGATTTGTTTTGGCCAAAGAGAGAAAGTGAAAAGATTTACCGTAGAAGAGTTTTACTAAAATTACCAAAACTTTGCCCTGTTCTCGGCAGGAAAATAAAACATGGTTTCTGCTGGCACACCACATTCACCACCAGAATCCATAGTATCATAGAATGATCCTGAGTTCGGCCAATCACGTTCATGATTACCACTGCAGCAGAAATGACATATTGTGTTTCAAACAGCATCAAAAAGTCAGTGTTGAAATATATTCTCAAAATCACATGCTAAGCTGCACAATCAAGTATAGACACCTTGCAATCATGTATGGAACAGTTGATGCTATAGGCTCCACCTGTGCTGTGAATTGGTCCCACTGTGAAAGGTATCCATTTGAATACGTTATGTCTCCTATGTGGAAAAGTATGTCAATGTTGCTTAAGTCCCTAATGAGTTGGTCTGTAGTATTGAGCGAACCAGGCTGATAATCACTGTATTCATTTGAACCATCACGTTCTGCCTGAGAGATGTTAAAAGATCTCATCATATAAAGCAATAAATCTCTTGTCCTAAGAAAACAGGTATTAATAATGATAATATCTGACGGACAACTGGGGAACAGCTTGCATCGGAAATCAAATCCCCAGCAGTGGTTCTGACCACCTATTGTAAAGGGGGTGTTAAATGTTAATGCGGGATTTAGAAGGATGTTAAAGATGAATCTAATAAGAAGATTATAATACACCATTTTTCCAAAAATTTACCAGTCAAAAAGGGTAAAATAATTGACAGTGCATAGAAAATCAAAATTCCTAAAAACCAAACAGAATGCATGGGTTGGTCAATCTTATCGCATTCCCCCTCTATTGACAAATCCTACTGCCCACTCTCAAACCCTTCATTATTGAATTTTCAATATTACCTTGCCCATATCGCCAAATATTATGACCCTTTGTAACGAGTCTTGTCCAGGAAATGGGGATGATTTAAATGAATATGTCTTGCTCCATACAAATGAACCATTATATAAGAGATGACCCATCCTGTATGTGTATCTGAAACACCATTATTTGTAACGTTGTAAGTGGGATCATATAAACTTTCAAGTTGTCACGTAGCTAGATAGGAAAAAGGGATATTTAAGATTCTTACACAAAGTTTGGCCACAAATTTTTCAAGAAACTTGTATGTATGAAACCTGGATCACGCCAGCCAACTGTTCTTGCAGGCGAACCTGCAGATCAATAGGTAATTGCATGATACTGTAGGCCTGCCTACTTATCCACTTGATTGAACAATGTAAAAAGTAAAACTAACTTGTTGGTAATATACTTGACTGTTAAAATTTGTTGCTTAGAAAGCCATGACACAGTGAGATAATAAATAATTCACTAATACAGTCCCATATAGTGCAGGATATAAAATACGAAGGATGAAATGTACTCCTCTTAGTCTTATAATCCTTCACAAAATCAGAAACTAAGGAACTAATCATAGCAGATAACTAGAAGTAATCAAATAGGAGACATTATGATTCATAACTATATTGCTTAAACATAAAATTAAGAAAATTAGTAACAATAACTCAATCATAAATCAACAAAGTCCAGTTCTAGAATGCAGTTTGTCACTAATAGGTATAGCTGCCACTTGAACTAAACAGGAAGAGTTCTTGATTGACAAAGGAGGATATAGGGTTGACATGCTAATAATTTTTTATTGATAAAGAAAAATCCATATCAAGCATGTATATTCACATTTAAAGCAATATTATAGCATGCATTGCAGCATCAAAATCCCATCATAAGTAATTCCATTCATACCACACATGCTGTTCTGTTTAAACGTCAATGTTCCAGCTGGAGATCTAAGTTGTAAATCTCCCTTTCTACCCCATTCAACAAATGGCACTGCTTCATCTATGTTATAGCCACTTGTCCAGGTTACAGTCATCTGTGCAGCAAATCAACTATTGCCTGAATACTAGATAAAATGAACAGTGTAGCAGACCAAACAATATTTATGATTTAATGCAAATTAACTCACAATCACAATATGTTTGCTAAAACAGAGTAACTTCATGCAGGAAGAGATATGATGTAATTCAGAACATTTGAAATAATGTCTTAAAGAAGATAATGATCCTCAAAAGAACCACAGTTATTATATTAGTGTTCAAAGAGGGGATTGTATCCCTTAGCTTAGCTTTCACAACTTTACAGAATTTCATTAACTTATCATGGATAAAACACTTGCCATATAAGCTAATGCCGAAATCTATTTAACTAAGAATAATTGATTTCTTTTAGGCAGATAAATGAAAAGTTTTCTCAGCTCAGAAAATAAGGCAAAAGTTATCACAGCATACTATTTTTTGGGGGGAAAATAATATAGGAGGCATTAATTAGAACTTACTTCATTCCAAGACTTCCCTTGAGCGAGGCGTGGATATAAGGGTGCTTTAGGATTTGCAAATGATATGACATTTGATATAGCCACCAATATTGGCTGAAATATTCAAGTACAAAATCACTCAACAGAAAATTTTCATCAAATTCGTTAGAGGATAACTAATTAAGAAAATGAAGAGGCACTATGATGAATCAAGGTGATGTATAAAAATGTTATGCAAGGGTCTACTGCAAAAGAAAAGGAAAACAAAAATTTAAACTGGAGGGGCAAGTGTCATGAACTTACAGATGATAATCCGCCTGAAAATAACACAAAGGAGAAATCTGCTCGCTGATTTATAAGCTGGAACCTCAGAGAACCAAAGCCTGTCTTTGTATAACCTGAGCTGGACTCATTTGCATACTTGTACTGGGATAAACACAGAAAAATGAGTTTTCAACCCATAAAATTGTAAAAACTAAATTCTCCTCATCAATACCACAAGTTACACCACACACACCTTTATAGGAGCTGAACAGATATAAGGAAGCTGTTCTTTTGGGTCATTCACCGGTGGACAGGTTGATGGGCTGCCATAACATCACAAAGTGTCTCTAATTTCTCAAACAATGCAAAATTCACTAGCGAAGTTATCACAGGGTGGAATGAGCAGAATCCTATTAACTACTGTAATTAAGAAATTTCGATGTGTTTATGAAATGAGCTTTCATGAAAAACCTTGGTCATATCAAGCACAATTAATGAGTTGCAGTTGATATTGTGACATAGATGGACATTACTTGAATTTTGCCGGAGAAAAGACTCCAATCCAGTCATCCAGAGATGGGTTCCGATTCATAAAATTCAAAGTTATCCATTGAGTATCCTCGCCCTGTGATCAAACAAATGAGATACATACATCAAATGTATGCCCCTAAACTCAGGCAAAACTGTCAAGAACTCGTGATTTTATATGATGTACTTATCCAATTCTTTGTTCAAGGCTAACAGTAACATTCTTTTTATAAATTTAACATCCATATTTCTATTGATCATCAAAAAGTCATAAAAAAGTCAACTTCAAAATTCTTTGTAATTTTAAAAACCAATTACAAAAAAGAAAAAGAGGAACTTTTCCAAATGTTGATAAGATAGAAGCGTAAAAAGATTGTACCTTTAAACCAAGAAGAACAGGTTGAGCTTTAATATTAGCTGAGTCATGAAGGGCAAGAGTAGTTTTGAGGATATTGATTTTAGCCAGGGGTTGATCTCCTGCTCCATTGATGTGAGCCAGACCCAAGTTTAAGTTTGCAACCAATAAAACAAACACCCAAAACATTTTCATTTCCAGGCAGTGAAGACACTCTTTCTTTTCTGGCAAAAGAAAGAGAGAAAAAAAAACCCAGAATTATTGTGGTTTGACTTATGAAGATTAGCTGATAGAAGAAAGTAAAAAACAAGATTTGCAAGAAAATATCAGGTTTTTTCTTAATTTGGTTTTCTGAGAGTTCTAAGACAGCACGTCCATCACATGGTTTAGTTCCATCATTGGTTTTTTTCTTTTATTATTGGTGTTGGTGTGGTCAACAAATAAACAACTCATTTTTTTTCTATATTTTACTAATTATTTTCCATAGAAAAAGAGGACAATAAGACTCAAGGCTAGTTGGTGGTATTTTTTTGAGTTTTACGAGATTGGTTGCTTTTTGAGCAATCTTTTTCAAAAGAAGAAAAAGAAACAAATAAGCTAGAAAAGCAAACTCCAATTTGTTATTGTTTAACTTCTCAAACTTGTAATCCCTTTATTAAATTTTTTTATATAATTTTGAAAAAAATTCAAAACTTAATCATTTTTACAAAGAAAATCATAACTTGGATATAATATATAAGAAAATATTATAAATATTAAAATTTAAATTTAAATAAATATCATATAAATTAATTGAATTAATTTTTATATTGAAACTTAATTATTTTAAAATTTGTGACACTTTAATTTTATATTGAAAATTTTTAAAAATTTATTATGATATTATAACAGTTATTAGTCAGACATGAGCTAAATGCAAGATAATAAAAATGAACTCAAAAATTTTGGCTGAAAAGAAAAATCACAATCATCTTTAAAATTTTAACATCTTATTTGATTTTGATTCTGTGATTTTATCTTTATTTTGTGTTAAAAACTTGATTATGTGGTTTTATCTTTGTTTGTGTTAGGAAATTTAAATAGGAGGAGTTTGTAGTTTTGTTTATATTTTGATGTACTTTGTATTAGGTTTAACAAAGATGCTAATGTTTAATAAGAGAAGTTTGTAACATCTCAATTCTTTATTAGAAGATTTTATAAATTTACTAAAATATATAATTAGATATTTAATCCTAAATTTATGGGGTTCTTTTTATAAATTAAAATCATAAGATTTTTAAATCAAAATAGATAATGCCTTGCAAGATATGTGTGGGTCTTCACAACAATAAGAAGTGGGAGCCACCTTTAAAATCTAATGTCTAGTATGATCTTAATATTATGGTACTATCTGTATTCAATTGAGTATGAATTTTCACAAAAATAAAATGTGAAAGACACTTCTAAAATTATAACGTTTTGTGTAATTTTGATGTTATAGTTTTGTTTTTATTTTGTGTTAGATTTAACGAGACCATTAAGTTTTAATGAAGAATTTGTAGTTTTTGACAAGGGAGTTTGTGGTTTTATTTGTGCTATGTGTTAAGCTTAATAGAGATATAAAGTTTTGATCCTAATTCTATTATTTTATTTGTACATTATTTTATTTTGTGTTAGACTTGACGGAACGTCAAATTTTAATAGAAAAAGTTTATGACACTACTTTATATATTAGGCTTGATGGTAATATCAAGTTTTATCGAAGAGAGTTTATAATATTTTAATATTATATTGAAATATTTTAATAATTTTTTATGATATATAAGTAAATATTTAAACACAAGTTTTGTCGAAAAAAGCTTATAATATTTTAATATCATATCGAAAGATTCTAATAATCTTTTATAATATATAAGTAAAGATTTAAACACAAATTTTATCGAAGAAAGCTTATGATATTCTAATCTCATATCAAAATATTTTTTGTGAAATAAAATCGTAAAACCTTAAAAAAAAAATGAATAATACTTCGCAACATTAAAATGAAATATTAAAAAAAAAATTCAAATCCGGCATTTGATTATTGATATATGATCCTTTATTTAAAAAATAAAGTTTAAATCAGGCCTATCAAAAAAAACCAATGAATAAGAAACATTTTTATTGAGAAGAAAGAAGCATTTCTTTAAGAGGTCTGGCTCCTACGGTGAAATAAATGCTTGGGGACCCTTGTTGACACAATATTGAATTTGGAGTTGGCATCAATGAATGAGAGAGATGGACACTCGATTCAAATTCACTTCTTGCTTTAAAAAAAATTACCACCAGGTAATCAAGGGGGATCATTTTAATTCTTTATGATATATAAGAGCTTATAAAAATTATGGCATTTGTTTGCTTTAATCAAAGAAGATAATGGTGGAACAATGGCTTCAAGAACCCAAAGTGGTTGGTTCGCAGCCATCATGTACACAGGCTAACACATCCCGGTAGTCCCTGGAAATGGTGAATGAATCATAGACCTTTCCATCGCTGCTCTTCTTGTACTCTAACAGGAGAGATGAATGGTTGAATGCTGTCAGCTTCACAAAACCAAAATCTGAATCATTGTAAAGACTCCAAGATGTCTGGAATGGACCAAATCCTGATAAATGGCTCCCTCCCCCACCAACAACGATGTGGATTGTCCCATTTACAACACCTGAATAGTGAGATTTTTCCATATTCATGCACTGAGACTGCACTTACCAACAAACAGTAAAACATTAGATGATATGAAGGCTGAAGCAAGTTATAGCAGATGACTTTTGAGAATCTGTTTATTGTCAAACACAGCCTTGATTCTTGGAAGATACATAGGCTGTGAAGATTGTGTGAATATGCTCTGAACCTATGTTTGTTCGATTTTTCATTTTTATTGAAGTATCTATGTCCGACACATAAGACGGATACGAGTTTGAAGATTCGACCATTCAAATATATATAATAAAAAAATCTAAGAAAAATATTGAGGCTAACGGTGTCAAACACGTACATGTATTAAACACTCACCCTGAATGCAAGTAACATACTATGAACCAGTCCTATATTTTGATAAAACCCCAAGTAATAGTTTTCTGCCATACCTGGTAAACTGGGCACGTTCTTTCATAGTTATGTTCATGTCCAAAAAACGCGATATCTACTTTGTACTTCTGCCAAAGTCCCTGCAAGCTTTCCCTTCCCATAGGCTCCGCAAATGTGCCATCCCTCCAATAGCTAGAGGAATAACCAAGAACACGATGAGCAGCAAAGATCAACCAGGGCTGCTTCTGCCGGTCTGCTGATGCTAGGCACTTCTCAATGAACTTGTACTGCTCGGAACCCTGCCTCCAATCATGTTCAGTATCAGCTATACAAAAGTGGAACATGCCATAGTCTGTTGAATACCTGTACAGAACAAGTAGTGTGACTTAAAGCTTTCTTTCTGGGGGATAATGACATGCATATTATGAATGTTACATAATAACTTTGCTTTTTTCAAGTTACATACCAAAACTTAGCTCTGTTCTCAGCAGGAACATAAAACATGGTCTCAGCTAGCACCCCACATTCACCACCCGAATCATTTCCATCATAGAAGGATCCTGAGTTGGGTGTGTCACGTTCATGGTTGCCACTATACAAAAGGAAGCAATCTTGGTTAGATCCGATGTAGCATTTTGCTTATAGCTGCAAAGTAATTTCCTTGTGTTACAAAGAGCACAGTATTTAAGCATGCAAACCTTGCAATCATGTATGGCACAGTTGATGCAATGGGCTCCACCTGTGCTGTGAACTGGTCCCACTGTGAGATATATCCATTTGCATATGTAATGTCTCCTATATGAAAGACTATGTCAATGTTTTTCAAGTCCTTGATTAATTGATCTGTGGTGTTAAGTGAGCCAGGCTGATAATTACTGTACTCATTCGAACCATCTCTCTCTGCCTGAAACATGTTGAAAAAATTATAAATCTCTTCATTTCCCCATATATATGCACTATGCAGCAATTAAGTGTCAAATAACATTCAACACTATGAAATTGCAGATACTTTTGTTTTCTCCATTCAATGGGTTCTTTGATATTTGCATTTACAGTTCCCACCACAAGATTCATCAAGTAGTATCATTCAAAGGAAAATGAATGCAATAGAGAATATAAAGTTAGAATAAGTCTATGGCGAAAACACAAGATTGGCCTGGTAGCAGCGTGGCTGGTGACTTCGAATATAATCAAGACATCAGAGAGAAAGGTTGTAGCAAACCAAGATTTTACTAATGAAACGTAAAAATTGTTCTTCATTTTCATACTTACTAAAAAGCATGTCATATTTATTACCTTTCCCATGTCTCCAAATATTACAACTCGCTGTAACGAGTCCTGCCCTGGATATGGCGATGACTTGAATGAGTAGCTCTTGCTCCACGCATAAGAACCATTAAGTAACTTGTGACCAAGCTTATAAGTGTACCTGAAGGCAATAATAATCACAGCCATATGAACAAATTGCTCGGTCTCCTCATCATTTCTATTAAACAAATGTCATTTGCGTTGCATACACTGAGTTTGGCCACAAATCCTTTAAGAAACTTGTATGGAAGAAACCAGGATCACGCCAACCAACTGTTCGGGCTGGTGGAGCTGCATTTTGTCATCAAAATACAGTTAGAAACATGGCTTCAATCTGCATCTTACCAAATCTCGAGTGAAATATTTGCAATTAAGAATATAAACTAAACAGAAGCTTCAATTAAATTTCGTTGTATTATTTGACAGTTTGTCTTAAGCTCTTATGAATTCTGCCAAAAAGTTTGCCAATCTTTCACATGAATTATGAGTCAAATTCTAGTCACTAAAAAGAAATATAATATTAGTCATAATCTTCTGGCAACACTTGATAGTTTCTCTGGCATAGATAAGTTAAATGGACAAAGAATTTGTAGTCAAAGGAAAGATGGACCATACCACACATACTGTTTCGATGGAATGTTAGTGTTCCAGCAGGTGATCGAGTTTGAGATTCTCCTTTCTGACCCCACTCAACGAAAGGTACAGCTTCAATAATGTTATAGCCGCTTGTCCAGGTCACCGTCATCTGTGTAAATTTGTTAGAGAATCAGGCAAACTGAAATTACATGATCAGAAAAAGAACTGATAAATGTTTACAAGTCAGGCAGATTTGGCAATCCAAACCCAGGAGAAAGTGGGGAAGGGAACCCGAATACACTTTGGAAAGCCTCATTGCTGACTGATGGCCAGTCAGTGTAGAATTAGCACACAGACAGGCTTTTGCTTGCAATCAAAATCCAAATATTTGTGGAAAATTGATGGAGAGTGAGACATAAAGAACTTACTTCATTCCAAGACTTCCCTTGAGAAAGGCGTGGATACAGAGGTGCCTTTGGGTTAACAAAACTTATTACATTTGAAACTGCCACCAGTTTTGGCTGCAACAAATTATCAATCAAGGACAAGGGTGAAATATGCTATAGCAAAGCATTAAGTTTGGAACTTCACATGCATAACATATTAAAAGCAACAAATAGAATAGAGGAAACAGTTCATACATCTGATAACCCGCCGGAAAATAATGCGAATGAAAAATCTGCCCGCTGATTGATCAACTGAAAATTTATCGAAGCTTTTCCAGTCTTGTTGTATTCAGCATTGGAATCATTAGCATATTTGTACTGACAAAAAAAAATCACATTGTATAAGGCAAATGGTCTCAATATTAGGCTAAGAACACACAATGGTACCTAGCTATAACACAGACCTTTATTGGGGCTGAGCATATGTAAGGAAACTGTTGCATATCCTCAGTAGGTGGACAGGTAGACGAGCTGCCATTATAGAATGAATTCCTTGATCAACAAAACTAGAACATACAGAGGAAGAAAAAAAATTCTCAAATGTGCAGTCATCAGAAAATTATTCAAAAATTGCCTCCAGCCCCGCTTCCCTTTTGAAAGCAAAGTATATGATTAACAAAGTTGAAAAATTACTTGAAGTTTGCAGGAGAAAAGACTGCAACCCAATCATCCTCAGAAGGTTTAGGGCATTCAACTTCCACAGTTACCCAGTCAGAATCTCCCCCCTGTGAAGTGTGAACAAACCAAGGCAGTTACAAGGAATTTATATATCTCAAACCGCTCAGAACACCATGCTTCAGTTTTTGAAAAACTTGTCCAAACCATGCATCTAAACTTGTGAATTGTGATCTATCAAAGACCTAAACATGTATTGGATTGAAACAAAGCATCTTCAGCGAAACATATAAGATTGAATTAGATTTTACCTTCACCCCAAGAACAAGTGGGTGTGCTTTGACAGAAGCATTTTCATGAAGTGCATAGACCGCCTTGTGGATGGCAATTTTGGACAATGGCTGCACTCCATCGCCATTTCCAGCATGAGCTACTGCTGCAGCAGGACCAAAGTTTAAACACTGCAGTAAAGACAACAATATGAAAAGATACACCATAGATACCAAGCTCTCCATTTACTATGCTATGAGCTATCTCTGTGACAGTGACCATAATGTTCTAAAGCCTCTACTTTAAAATCAGCATCCTTCGGTATGAACACAAAAAACAAATGCTGTAGAAACTTGAAAGTGAAAGATAAGCCGGCCATTGAATCTGCTTTCTCCTTTCTTTGGTCAACTTACAATTTTTAATATAAATTATTAAAAATTGTCCAATTGAGCCACATTCTTCCTATGCTTTGAAAAACGAAAACTCTTGCAGATATGGTCAGACACTGCTTCCTGCCTCCTTCTAGTGCCAATACGAAGGAATTCAATATTCAGCTATTCACCCAAATTACCCTTTACGGCTATACTTTGTATGCTACGAAAAACGATAGAGTATGGTCTGAAAGCTGGTGGAGACTGACGTTTTTGACAAAGTTGTAAATGAGCAATATCCAATAAAGTAGACCAACAACGGTAGCTATTAATGTTGCCGACAACAACAATTGAGCTGATGTTGGTCAGAACTCAGAAGCTGCAAGAGAAAAACAAGTTGAGTGATTTGCTTTGATTTTCTTATACATTTTATTTCCCTTTTTTTTTTTTTTTAGCAAATCAAACAGAAGGCAAGTGTCTCTCGGGAGCAGAGACTTTCAAACATTAAAATGCCTTAAGTAATTTTTCTTCATTTTTAGTTTCTTCAAGTTTGATTAGACATATTAACCTCATAGTTGTTATGCGCAAGCCACGTGATTTCTTCAGTCCTCGACCATAAATGCCGACCTCGAGATTGATTGGAGATCAAATGGATCCAGATCAACTACGTTTTCTCCGTACAACTACGTTTTCTCCGTACAATTCATTACAATTAAAGAATTAAAAAAAATATTGGATAACTTAATAAACACCATACCGTCCACAAGTTCACACTGAAGATACACACGAACTTGACTATCTTTTGCGGCCATACATGCTAATACATGCCATCAATCTGACATGACCAATTCATAAAAATAATAATAATAATAACAACCACATGGGTGATGATTGAAAAAGACATGGCAACATTTTTGTCATGCAAATGCATTAACGTACAAGAAAAATACCAGTAAGTTTTGATACATTTTGATCCGCATGAGTAAAGGTTGTGCTTTCAGTCATTGCTAGAAATGAAGTAAAACTCGAATAATTGTGGAACAAGGATTATTGCCTAAGACTTCTGAGATGCATGAATGAGAATCACCATAGCCTAATCATTTACAAAATCGATACCTAATGGTGAAATAGAAAAAGTTATGGCAGTTGTGTTTCGTGTTGATTTCAGTTTTCGAGATTCCTTTCATTCATTTCTTCCTTTGGAACACAGGGGAAAGCTTCTTCTCCAACTCTAACAAGCTGAAATTTCAATAGAACGATTACCAAATAACTTGTTAAAAGGATATTTTATCATAAAGATTCAACTAAAATATGGAAAATCAAATAAATGACTCACATCTCATATTTGTGTAAAGCTTCGTTTCGTTTTGCTATGTAGAGATCACTATCTTTAGGTAAATTGTTCAAAGGGTTGCCTAGATAACATGAAAGAAAAAGAATTAGATCGAAGTAACAGATAAAGGAAAGTATTAAAGTAGCATTAGTATCTCAACATCTCTGAGATTAGGAAATTGGACATAAGTATCTCATATCTAACAAGGAAACATGATAAAAAAAGAGATAAACATGTAATGAGCTGGATAATGCAAACAAAATCTATTACATACCAAGGATTATGCTTGAACTGGTATTACAATGTAGCTGTTTGCTTGTTTTCATGAAATATTATTTTGATTTTTCCTTTATAAGAAATTTGACAAAGTGCAAAGGAAGAAACACGTGTAAAAGCAACAAAAAAGCAAAAGAAACCTCCGAAATTAGTGCATTTTATAAAAACAGATAAGATATGAGCCCAAGCAAGCTCATAACTTAGTAACTAAGCATCAACATGACCAGAAAACAACTTAGCTGCAAGTTGCCCAAAATAAGCTGAGGCACACTAGAACATCCCACTAAAATTTAGTTATTATGGTATGTTCACAAACCATTAGCTTTTGAGTTGAATTAATTTCTTTATTTTCTGGACATCAACTTAAGTGAAATTGTGGCTTTAGATTTACTGACGTGTCCCTAAAATGATTCTGTTTCCTCTCAACTCTCATCTCAGGAAAGCAAAAGAATCACTCCATTGATATTGAACATCCAAACCTGCCCTAAAAATTATAAAAGCTAGCAGAAAAATGTGACATACTTAGCGCTGGTGCTGGTTTTTTTGCCCCTACATTCTTCTGAACTTTCGAAGCAGTTTCATTATTCGAGGGCTGCAAACCAACCTGTTCAAGTAAAGGCAGTAGCACCATTCTGGATTAGTATGAATGCAATGAAGTTTCAACTGAAATATGCAATTAAGTCATTAGAAGTTGAAGGATAAAAGTAGATGAAACGGCTAATTCTTTCCAAGTTCAATGATATGAAATGAGTCTTTGAGCCATAAATATGAATATAAAGCAAACATTTTTACAAGGACACATTCTACCAACCCAACTAAACATTCACATATCATACATACACTAGAGGGCCAAAGATCCAAGTAGACACATTAAAATATGAAATGTGAATTGCAGCACCAATGGTTTCTACTTACAAATGAGAAGAATCACTACCTTCTTTTCCCTCCTCTTTATTATCTTTAAATGGCACTTTTTTATGTAGTGCATCAAATGGTATCGGGAATGTCTAGAGCACAATTGGTCCTTGACTTGAGGGTTCTCGTTTAACCAATCTGAAATATCTTTAGATTTGACCACTTCATCCGTATCCAAAGATTCTAACCATGAATAAACCGGTATCCACTGATCAGTGCGCTGAAACCGAGCCGGTGGAAGATCAGGTTGACTTGGTTCTTTTTCCTGCCATAAGAGACGAGAAAAAGGATAAGAACAAAGGGCATAAAACTTCACCCTCAACACAAGCAACTGTCCAAAAGGGACCAAAAAAAAAAAAAAAACCCCATAGGTTTCAAGAAAGCATAAAGAGAATTTTCAATTCACTGCATCTTTATACAAATCATATTCAGTCTAAATGGATATAATTGAGCAATTCAAACAGATCCCTAAATCAACAATTAAAGAAAATATGCTTTTCTTTTCTATTACATGCATTGACTCTCCCCCCATGTTTTGATCTCTCTATTGACAATATCACATTGCAAGAATTCCAAAGAATAAGAAATAAAAAAGACCCAGCATTTTTTTTTTTTTATTTCAGGAGCCCAAACCCACCCTTTTTTTTAGTCATTGAATAGGATCATGTATATGGAAACAATATCCAAGCAACTAATACTGTAACCAGCCAATCACATCCGCATAGTTAAAACTGAGATTGAGATGTCATATTTTACACGTTATGAAATGAGATATTTTTACTAAAAAAGAACCCACTGTAATAAATGCTGAGAGGATTCTAATTGAAATGACACCTGGGACTGGGAGGGCAATCTCAGGTAATTTTGAATAGAAAGGAGCCTGTCCACGAGCTCAGATCGTGGCATGGATTGAAGCTCGGCTGGTAACGAGCCGAAGTTGGAGTCGATCCAGACTTCGACTTGGCTCACGTTCACGGCTTTCGCTTCTGGGAATGCGCTTACCCAAGCACGAGCCAGGGTCTCCCATTCTTGGGCCTGTTGGTCTTCGTGGAGCTGATTGTTAGGGTTTCGATCGGACCGTCTAGGTTCATCGTCTAGGGTTTGCTCTGTTGAATTCGACATCTCGTCGGGATTCCGCCAAATTTTACCTGAGAAGGAGGAGCTCTTTTTTGCGGTTATCTTCTGTCTTCGAATTAAAAGGAAACGACAGCGTTTATCTTTTTTCAAGTTTTATTTTCTCGTGGAATTTTAAAACTTTAAACGACAAAGGCTAATTTCTTATTACTTCATTCTTAAACCTACCTTAACTTTTGTCATTTACTTGAGTTCTGTACTTCATTTTGTTCTAAAATTTGACCACCAAGTCTATTCGCTACATAGATTGTATTTTTTTTTTTTAAATATCCAAATAAACTCTTGAATTTTATTTTAAAATACAAATAGACCCTTGATATTTTATTATATAAAATTAAAATTATATAATTTTATTTATTATAATTATACTCAATTAAATTTTAAAATTAGATATCCAATTGATAGAATTTTTAAAATAATATTCTCTTAAGTATTTATCATTTAATTCATTCAAATGAATCTAAGTAACCTAAACTCTAAATCCAATTAAAAATTAAATTTATTTTATCTAAAATTTAAACGTGTGTAATCACATAAACAAACAAAAACACGTTTTATTTTTTTGAAAGACTATTTTTTTAATTTTTAAAAGAGACCACTTAAAAGATTAAATCTCAAATGTTTGACCGAATTGAGTTTGAATCGAATTAAGTTGGACTGCAGTTGAGTTGTTCGGAAGGGATGGCCTCCCCCGGCTCCAACGTTACTCGGCCGCTGCAACATTACCGCCTGATCTAAGGCTCAATATTTTTATAACAAAACACGGTCACCTGATAGAAACTATGTCGGAGCACTTTGATTAGGCGTATTTCCCTTTCCCATTAATGTAATAAATAATATAAATCATAAATTAAATGCAGTATCGCTGCAAAATTGTCTCACACATATGGCTACGATGATCTATCTATTAACTTCCATAGTGTTCCTTCTGTAAAAATACCCTTGTGTTGAAACTTTACTGGAGGAAGACTACCTACCTGGTCTTGTGGGCTTTGGCCAATTTCTTCTTTCGTTTCTTTACAGCTTTTGGTACTTTTGTCTTTCGAGCCTCCCTCTTTTCCTCTTTCACTTTCTTTTTGTTCTCTTTTCTAGCAGCTCTCTTATCAACTTGAGCCACATTGTCAGATGAGGGACCCTTCTCTTCTGAGCCACTCCAGTTCTCTTCAGCCACATCTGTTTCTGAACCAGACGCAGACTCAGCTTCGGACTCGCTCTCCTGAGAATTAGAATGCCCTGTTGGATCAACAGAGGACCCTTCTACAGGTATTGTGTTAGCATCCTGTTGCTGCTGCTCTGCTGGTGAAGATTGAACTTTAGGGAGAGCTTCCTTCAGTCCGGTAATTGTCTTATAATATAGGTCTCCAGTGTCCTTGCCACTTGTTAACCGTATTACATCCTCCTCCACATTCTTGACATGATCCAGTGTCTTGGGAATATATGACTGAAGAAAAGGAAACAAATAATCACTGAGTTAATATTCGCCAAAAAATTTATACAACCTGATATTCATATCACATTGCAAGTCCGAAAAATTCTCTCAAACTAATGATATGCCCTAAAACCGAAAATTTCCAATCTGTTAAATCTAATGCCCTTTGCTTAAGAGAAGAAGCGAGGAACTTAGAGACACTCCAATAATCATGCATTGTTATATTGTCATTCAACAAACCTGCACAAACACAGAGTCTGCAATTTCATCCTCCACAGACATATCTCCTCTTGCCAAAATCTTTTGCTGAACCTGAAATGAGATACATGGGATACAAAGAGTAAAAACAGAGATTTCTCTAAGTTAATAAGGCAAATCTGAACCAATAAAAGGACAAACCTCTTCCAAATAACTATCTACAGAGTCATCTGTAATAGTTGGATCCACTATGAAGTCAAATAACTCTCGAATTGTCATGACAGCTACACCATGTTTCTTAAAGAAATCCTGCATGGGGACAATGTTTGATTAACTCTTACAGTCATAGTCAAGGTACACATTACTCTCATCTAAAGAAATATTCAATTTATAGCAAGAAACACATAATAACTTTTTCCTACTTAAGGAGGTAGGGGTGGAGAATTTTCAAGGTCAAGAGGGGGAAAAAGTGCCAAAATAATAAAAGAAAAGACAATAACATACAGAAACATGAACACAATCTTCACGTAAGAAATCCAGGGCATGTGGGTGGTCAAGGTCAACTGCTTGAGAGACATCGATTATGTACAAGTGACCCTGCAAAGTGGAAAATTTTCAAATGAGCCCAAAAAAAACTTAGTGATCCGTTTTTCCTCTTAGCAGAAAGTTTTTGTTAGGAATCTACCAAAATAAGCACAAAGAAAAATGTATTACAGTTGCAAGGAATTGAAACACTAGTCATCACCTCAAAATAAAGTATGTTATATTCACTGAGATCTCCATGCACTAATTTGCATTTTTGGTATAATGTCCGCATGGCAAGTATCATCTGAAAAAGAAGCCATTAAGTTGAAGCTTATCTACAAAAGAAAGAGAAAAATAAAGCAATATAACTCAATACCTTTTGAGTAGCTCAAAATAATGTCATAGTTGTTTAACATAAGGACATACCTCTACATAACATTCACGTAACTTGTCTAAAGATAATGCGGCATCTTTAAGACGAGGTGCAGCCCAACCAGCTTTTCCTGTATAAAAAAGTTTGAGCACCAAAACCCATAGAAAATCAGCATAAAAGATAAGTACAACCACTAGCATATGTTCAGTTTATTGGTTGGAAAAATAAATCCATAACGATAAGAACCTACACTACCTATGAATTCCATGACCAGAACATGAAGTCTCAAAAGTAATGGAGTTGGGCACCTAATTCCTGCAGCCTTCAGCCTGCAACTCAAAACAAAAATATTTTTACTCAAGAAAAGCAAGCAAAATGATCCACAAATAATTCAGTCATCTGTTTCTGTTCACAGAAACAAAGGTCAACTTCCTAGAAATCATTAAATATTTGTTTTACCTCATAAGATTCCTCATTTCCTTCTCAGCCCATGTCTTCACCATTTTTCTAGGATTGTGCTTACAATATCCATATCTGAATCTGTAATCACCTTGAACATATCGATCTCGATCCCTGAAGTTATAATTAGAAACCAATTTATTGCATTATTAACCTACATAAACTTTTGCATGAAAAGATGGAATTTAATTTTGTGAAATACAAAATAATGCCGCAGATTCAAAAAAATTTGAATCCTACATCAAAATAGAGAACAGAAGACAAAAATTACAAATCAACAACTATAATGGAAATTGGGTACATTCATCCAAAACAATATAATCAAGAGGAATGGAACAATTACTAACATCCATTAAAAATTACTAACTTATTAGAGGGGGCAATGTTCTATATTCCAAAGGGAAGGGGCATACATTCTAATTATCGAATCAATATCCGACTTACTTGAAAATCAAAACAGAAGTTTTGTACACTTTG